TAATAATAATAATAATAATAATAAAGAGGATTAGAGTTTATTATTAATTCAATCACTTATTAAAGACATTCATAATAATATATTTTCAATTATTGATATATTGGAAAGGTTCTTGTTATAGATCTTTTTAAAATATTTTCATTAATAACAAAGGGCTTTTTATATGATTACAAATGAATTAGCTTTTTCTTCTGTGTAATTAACTCGAATTCTAACAAAATAATTTCAAAATCTAATAAAGACAATTAATAATTATATATATATATATTTATGCAAACTTAATAGATTTAATGTAAAACTCTCGGATTTATAATTCTATTAGAATGAATATCAAGTAGATAACCGAACTTCAATATAGTATTTAATTATTGAAATGAATTTGAAGGTTAAACTGATACTTGGAATTATTTTAATTATATTTTGTGTAATCGCAATTGCTTTTATTCCAAGTGTTACGTTATCAAATAGTTTAAAAGCCATAATAATTACAATTTCTATAGTACTTGGATTGTGCTTTTTGTTTCAGTTATACTATTAGGAATCATAAGAAATCTAATAAAAATCAAAAATCTTATTAATAGGTCCAGCTGGAGTTGGGAAAACTAAAACATATAATTATTTAAAATGCAAAACTATAATGAACTTTAATCGATTCTAATTGGGAGAAATAGGAAATATATGCTTAGTTGACACACCAACTATGGATTTAGATTGTGGTATAGATGAAAGAGAGGATGCGATATCATAATTTTAACAATTCTTTGTAAATTTTAAGACTTCAATAAGTGCAATTATGATGGTTGTTAACTTTGAAAGAACTGATTTAATGAAACAAAAATTATTAAGAACCTTGAAATATTTGAAAAAATTTTAAGATATGATATACATACTAATAACTGATTTTCATTTAAGTGAAGATCATGAGGGCGATAAATCACAATTATAGTAATCCCTAAAATTTTTAAATTTGAAAGGGATTATTTTTTTAAATTAAGAAGAAAATGAAAAATTGATGATAGAGGAATTAAATGCAATTGAACGAAAATCCTCTCATTAAGTATTTGATATAAATGACACAATTTTTGCTGTGATTGATGACAAAATGAATGCTTCATTGATGGATTAAATTAATTTAAAAATTATGTCCATGAAGTGATATAAATTTAGCTGGCTCTCTGCAAAAAATTTAATGTACAAAATGATGTGATTATTGTTCAAAATAATTCATAATACTTGGTTGTTTCACAAAGCTTAAATGTGTGGTTCTCATTTAAAAAAAATTTTTATTTTTAATTCTCAATAGTATTTTGATTTTTCTGCTAATAATTAGCTAAACTCTAATATCATATTTATGGGGATAGATAAATAATTATTAATAAATTTTTTTTACTAAATATAATTAAAGTTAATCTTAATCAGAATTTTTTCATTTTCTTCTTTGATTAAATTATTAGAAAATCTTACAACTTAAATGTTATAATATCTCTTAACTTTTCTTAAATGTAAAAACACAAAAAAACAATTAATTAATCAACTTAAAATAAGGATTGGAATATTAATTTGTATTATTTTTATTAATTTTAAATACAAAATATTGATGATAAATTCGATATTTTGAAAATATAGTTTGCCTTTAAATATAAGAATCATGATTGTTTTAATCTTCTGAATGATAAAATCTTTCTATTTGAGCAAACTAGTATATTTAGTATACCTTATAACATATCATGATAATTAATTGTTTTTTAATAAATAGCAATGTAATTAGTTATCCTAGCATTATGTATCATTGAAATAAATTCTTATGATTATTGGGGTAACGCTTATTAGGCTTTCAATTCTACTGTTATTACAGATAACGAAGGTTTTATTAAAATATATTTAGGCTGGTTGATGCAAGGAAACAATGGAGCAGAATTTACTAGTACATGTGGCACAACGTCATTGTTTGGAGGTTATAATATATTAGGAGCTGGGGCAAGTGTTTCAAAAATAATTTCTCTGCCTGCTCATTTTAAAATAAGGGTTTCTTTAGAATTTTGGAAGTACTTATGATAATTAGAATAAAGGATAGATAGTTGGGATAATGAAAAGTTATACATTATTTTAGATGATAGTGTAACTACTGCTTATTGGTATTGGGATACCGGAGTAGTGATATGTGGAAATCCAACTTAATGGACCGAATGGAGAGAAGTTAAGACAATATTTTCAATAGAATTCGAGCACAATTAACCAACACTTGCAGTAATAATTACAACCAAATTAGATGAAGCTCCATTGACAGTATTTATTTAATATTATAAGGAATCCTGGGGATTTAGAAACTTTCAAGTGGATGTATTGTATTGTGCACCAGGATGTGTAATTTGTAGTGGAGATGCGCCTGATCAATGTTGGTATTATGCAGAAATTGAAAAAAATTGGTTCGAAACAGACAATTTCAACACTGATGGCTGGTCCCTTAATACTTTATAGGCACTTGCCTATAGTAACTGTGTTAAAATATAGGTAATGGGAGAAATTGGTTAATTTACAGGAACTAAAGAATTATAAAAGTAATATACTTCTTTGGATCCTCATTTTAAAGTTATCTTACAAGTCCAGGTATGGAAATTTGATGTTTGGAATGCTAATTCGTTTCAAATTGTGATAGATGGTTAAGTTTTAGCAACAGAATTATTTAATAATGATGAGGTTACTCAATTATGTGGTGATAGTAGTGGAGGAGAAAAGTTGAAAAATATTGAGATTACATTTTCTCACACATCTGACAGCATGTTAATCAAAATGAAATCTGACCTTATTTTAACGACTGGATCTTGGGGAGTACGAGCATTTAGATTATTTTTAGGAAAATGCTATGAAAAATGCCTTACTTGTTCAGGACCAAATTACGATAACTGCTTAAGTTGTAAAACTGGATATTTTTTACATAATTTTCAATGTGATGATGGTATATTTTTAATTTTACTTTAGTGAAATGGATGTTGGGCTTATAACAATATTTTCAACTCTAGGACTTTCAAATATAAGCTGGATGGACCATATCAAATGTATTTAATAATCAAAATCCATTTTAAATATGTAATGGCTAGAATTTAGTAGGAGGAACGTAATTATTCGCTAAAGATGCTTCAATAACCTTAAATTTTGATCTTCCACGTCACACAAAAATAAGAATTAAATTAGAATTTTGGAAATTTGACACCTGGGATAGAGAATGGTTTAGAGTATTTGCAGATGGAACTTAGGTTTATGAAATATAATTTGGATTGAATGGAGTGTTAATAAGTTGTGGGACATATAGTACAAGCTCCTATGTAAAAAATTTAGATTTTAACTTCCCTCATAGTTAACAATCTATCATATTAAAGATGACATCTAATTTAGATGAGCAACCTGATAATGAATCTTGGGGAATAAGAAATTTTGAATTATTTTATGGAGTCCCTAAGGATTGTAGCTACTCCACCATTGATTTAATTACATTACCATCATTCATAGGAACTAGTTTTGTATAATCAACATATTATTCGTCTGATCAAACTTTGTAAAATAAAATAGAAATAACTGAACTTGGAATATCTCTGCAACCTAGTTTTGATCAAACATTCTCAGTTGATTCCGCAATAAAAAAATTGACAATTTTAATCACATGGAACTGCTTCTTAAATGATAAAGTTTTTTCAATTTCTATTTTATAAAGCAGTTTTCCAGATTACCTAAGTTCAACAGCAATTTGTAAATAAAAGCAATCCAATGTATTAAGATCTACTTTGATTTTATAAAGGACAATAGTATAAGTATCAACAATCAAATTAATTGCAACTTCAACATCATTTTAAATATATTAAATAGTTGATGGGCAAAAAACAACATAATATGAAATGATAATTAATTGATAGATAGCTAAAAAATTATTGATTTGTGCCTAATTTTTAAATCTTCAAATTAAATATTTTTGAAAAAAATATCCTTTTAAATAAGATACTAATGATAATCAATCATTATATTTTCTAACTTCAATTTCTTTCGACTTATAATTCCAAGTGACCAAATATTCTCCATTATGACTAATTGTACCGAAAATACCATATGTACTTAACTCAATCGTATATTTTGCCAATAGTTTTCCATCCTTGTCCAATCTCATTAGATTCACAAATGTATAGTATTTATTTACTAATAATGACTTTTCCATAATGAATTTTTATGGGAATAATATACTTCCATCATAATTACCTTAAACTGTCATTTCATTTTTTTTTTCATACTATTTCTTTGAATTATTAATCTCATATATTTGAGTAATTTCCTTATTATCGGGTTGAAATGCAAAAAGTTTATCACTTAGAAAACACAATCGATTTCCCTACAAACTAGTCCAAATCTTCTTAACTACTATCCATTAGTTATCTTAACTTTATAATTCCATTACTAGAATGAATTAATCAATTCCGCATGATATTAATTTATTCTAAGTTGAATTTAAACTTAATTAAAAAACACTACCAGTATGTTCCGTGATTGTTTACTAACATTCCCATTCGTTCTATTTTACCCAGAATTTAATCGTTTTGTCCCAACTGCAAGAAACAATAAGATCATCGTTGTTATTTCTGACTACACAATTAATTTATCCTGAGTGTCCTATTATTCTCTAAGAAATATTCCAGATCTAATCTTTAACATTCTGCCATATGATTATTTGTTTGTCATCACTCCCAGATATAATGTCATTCGAAGCATACATGAAATTTAATGTTGTTACATTATCGGTGTGCCCTTCAAGAACTTAAATTTCCTTAAGATTTCCTTAATTAAACTGATTAATTTTTATCTTGTTGTTGGATCCAACAATCATTAATGTCATATCCTCATTAAACTCAATAGCATAGCAATTTTCCTCCTACCTTTTTGAGAATTTAGGTTCTAAAACATAGGAAAAAGGTTTTTTATCCTAATTATTCCTAATTCTTTATGTTTTGATTTACTTTGATTATTATTAAAGAATTTAATAATTCTGAATATTTTTAGTCTAACATTTTTCTTCCCAACATATCTAACATTAAACTGAATTTTAGAGATTAGATAAACCTGATCCCAAGTTATATCCCTCTCTTTTGTGTTTTTTACATAAAGTTTGATCTTTAAAATTATTCATATAATTAATTTTATTGATAAATTAGATGCAATATAATATCTTTGCTATTATAGAACATGAAAGGCTAGAATTCATATTTAAAATAATTTCGTATAAAACAAATATAGGTTGAGTAAATGAGTAGAATATATATTATAAATAAAATTGTAACAACGTAAAGAAAATTATAACATCATTTAATCACTCATTATTATTTTGAGAATACTTTGCTAAGTGGTTGCTTAATGAAACATTATAATTTCAGATCTTACTACTAATCTTGAGAGTTTAGTGTATGTATTTATTGATGCAGAAGAATATGTAAAGTTAAAAAGATAAAATGAAAAGTCAAATTCAATGAATTTTCAAACAAACATTTTCTTAACTAAACTTCAAATGTGTGTAATGTATGAATCATAGTAATTACAGTTGCATTTTAGTGATTTTTTCATAGAATTAAATAGTAGTTTAAATATGAAGCCAATGATGATTCTTAGTTTATGTCATAGACAGATTAGATATTTCTAACCGTTAATCAATAATTTATATATTATTGCTAAAATTTCTAATATATTTCCAAATTTAATATTAAACTAAAGTTTATTAGTTTCCAATATTTAAAATGCTTTGTTTAAGTAGCTATATTCAAAAGTCTTATTGATTCTGTTTTATGGAAGAGGAGAGTTAATTTTGGCATTTCAAATACTAGATCTATTTAAAATAATAGAACTGTTAGAGTATTCATACTTCGACGCTGGTTTTTAAAAAAATTGCTTATCAAAAAAGATAATTGTTTCTTTTAAAAACAATTAATTAGTTAATGTGATCAATATTTTGATGCCGTTTATTGAGTAATATTGATTAGATTTATAGATTGAATCTATAGTATAAATTACCTAAACTAAACCTAAGGAAATTAAAAATTGTTAGATCTTAGTCTAAAGTAATCTATGAACGTTAACATGATGGAAGAACAATCAACAGCTACGTTAACTTCTATTTTATGCAATGATCAAGATGATGATAAATCAGAAATAATGAAAGAATCTAATTTATGAACTAATTGGAAAAGATGATGTATTATTATTAAAATTTTATGTAAATTCTCACAAAATACAAGGTGGCATTGATTTAAAATGCAGTGTTTGAAACTAAGCAAAAAATTCTTGAGGGAGTTGCTGCATCAATTCGTGATTGTGTATAGAAAGAGTGCAAAGTGATATTCTTGGGAGAGTTTTTTAATACTATTTTTGAGACCAATCAATTAAAGAAAAATGCAGAAGATTTTTCAGATAAAAATAATAGAGAAACATATGAGCTCATGAAATAGTTATCTGAAGAGTTTTAGATCATGATAATTGGTGGATTGCCAGAAGTGGCAGATGGCAAATTATTTAATGCTGCTTTGGCATTTAATGATGGAAAACTTGTGGGTTAATATAGAAAATGTCATTTATTTGATGTGGATATTCCAGGAGGAATTACTCATTTTGAATCCAATACTTTTGGATCAGGTAATGATTATTGTATTTTTGATTCATAATATGGAAGATACGGACTTGGTATTTGTTATGATATCAGGTTTCCTATATTTTCTTAAGTGATGAGAGATCAAGGATGTCAAGTGTTGTCATTCCCATCAGCATTTAATCAAACTACAGGGCCTTTGCATTGGGAATTATTGAATAGATCCAGGGCTTTGGATAATCAGGTTTACGTTGCTAGTGCTTAGGCAGCAAGGTATTATTCCGATGATCCTGACTACTATCAGACATGGGGTCATTCCATTATCACAGATCCTATGGGAAGAGTACTAGCGACATGTGGGTCAGATCCTGCTGTGTTAATTCAGGAAATAAACCTATCCCTTGTAGATCAGGTTAGAAAAAATATACCAACGTCTGTTCAAAAGAGAACAGATTTATATCAAGTATCCAAAGGAGTAAAATGAATCTAAATAATATAAATATCAATATTCATATTTTAGCAGTTATTCTGTTTTTTGTCTTCTCTCCATGATCATGTCGTTAATCTTTGCCATATTCTTTTGTATATCATCTTCTTGTTAGAGTTTGATGAACTAACTTGATGTGATCGATTATTGTGATTTATCTGACATCGTGGATGAAGATTGGCTATTTATTGGGCTGATACTTCTTTGAGGTAACAATTTATTTATTCTATTCTTAATTTCATATAATTGTTGTCTCATTTCTTAGCAAAACTGAGCATTTTCGGATTACATCTATACGTTAATAATTAATGATTATTTAAATAACTTAATGTAAAATAAAGAAATCAGTTTTGAAGATTCCTTAAGACAATCATAGTTGCCTTAATAATAAAAATAAAGTAAAAAGAAAACTAGCAAGCAAGATAAACAAGTCAAATTCACAGGTATATGAAGGTCTCTATCATTAATAGATGAGGAAATCAAAATTATAGAAATGCTAACTCCATAAGTCAAACAATAATAATAAGCAATTAAAATAGCTAATGGGAAACTGGACTTTCTTTTTGATGGGTCCAGAGATGTTAACTTAGTCAAACCATATCATGAGGATGGAGACGAAAATATGTATTCAAAGGAGAATATTACAAAGAGAAGAAAACTTAAAAGCGATCCTGAAGTAGTGTAAAGTATTGAAGCCTTTATGTCGCATTACTAATTCGATATTAATAACAAATTAATCAAGGAAAATTATTTAAAAACTCATATAAGATTGGCATATTTATTAAGAAAGGATGTCGAAGAGGACAAGGAGGAGATTAAATTTTTGTTGCTTGAGGATTGGTATTTTGTTATTATAATGAAGGGAGCATGATTCGAAAGGAAATGGTTTTATGACAAAAGCTGAGTTATTTGATTCTTTATTTGAATTAGTGGATACATGGACTCCAGATGCTGAAAAGTCTGAGTACATTGGGTTTTTCGAGTTGTTGGAATAGAAATATAAAAGACAACAAGACGAAAGTACTTTTACTATTTATTTATTAGAATTTGAATAGTTGTACTATGAAATAATGGAAAGTTGAATATTTTCAATTTTATAATTATCCTTCTTCATGGATATCAAAATATTCTTATTTTTATTAATTTGCTGTAGTCTTAAAGTCATCGAGTTGCATTAGTTTAGACAGTTTTTGTTGAGGACTATTGCTTGCTTAGAAAATAGACTGCAAACTGGTTGTAGGTAATGGAATTTATTCATCTTATGTCTTCATTTCTGGGATGTGTTTTTCTAATCTACCCTTAATTCTGTTGGCTTATTTTGGTTGTTGAGGAGATGGCGCATTTGTGTTGCTATTTTTATTGGCCTATTCAATTTTTTTTAGACATTATTCAATAAAATCTTCCTATTTGAGAGAAGCATTCCTTGAGATTTTGTTCGGACTCTGAGTTGAATCCTAATAAGTGGAATGTAAAATAATAGTCGATTTGCTCTATCTCAACTACCCGATTGGTTTTTTTAATGACTACAAAGTCTATTAGGCTAGTTAGATTTCTGTGAATAGCTATCTAATCTATGAAGATTATTGTGAAAACTTGTCTTGGAGATATTGTAGATCAGATAAAATTTGCATTAAATATTTTTTTAATGTAATAATATAGGGAGTTCAAATCTCATATTAGGAAGTCAGAATACACAACTTCGGACAAGAACTTTCCTCTGGCTCTACATGCTTTGTTGATATACGTATTTTTTATATCATTTAACATTGCTGGAAAAATGTGTTAATAAGACATATTTGCCAAGAGGTTTCCAGGGGATAAAAACAATCTAGGTAATTTGATGTGGTTTTGCTATTAAACAGTGGCTTTCATTGGGTTAGCCCAACTGCCAAAGATTGTAAATTTTATTACTTTCAGAATTATCTTGATGGTAGGATCATTGGGACCTCAAATCTTTATATTACCTGCAATTTTGGCTTCAAGTTCTGGTTGTCCTGATTGGGCGATTTATATAATTGGGATACTTTGTTCAATCTGTTCTGGGATATTATCAGTAATATTTTTATTCGGGATGCTTTATTATTTATCTAACTTATCATTTGGAGATGAGAAGATATTGTATTATTGTTCACTCTATTTCATGTAATTTATACAAAAATAAGTTTAGCCATAGCTTTTAATGGATATTAGGAAGCTTTTTCGCAGAAATATTTAGTAGAGCAACAATTGAGGCAATTGGCAGATTATTTTATATATCTATTGTATAACTAGTTCTAAGTCTGTTATTTTTAACGACCTTTGAGCCCAATCACCCTAGATTGAGAAGGACTAAAGAGTAAATTCTAAGTTTGATTGAAACGAAAACTAGTTCGCAAATGGACAAGGTAAATACTTTAAGACAATTAATTGTGAGTGGAATATAAGTTGATAGTTTAAATCAGCAATAAAAAGCTAAGTCAGAAGAAGAACTCAAACAGATTATGAATAACATGACGATTCAATGCTTTTCCTTAGATTCAAGCAATTTGAGTATGATAATTGAAAAAGAGGAATTCAATGTTTATTAAAATAAATCATATTTAGAATGTATAAAATACACTTCATAGGAATTATGGAGAAGAAATGCTCTCTATTTATTGCCATTAGTATTGACAGTAGCATTGCTTGAAGGCTTCATTTATATATAAATGCTCAACTATATAATGTTTTTGGCATAGAAGGAGGACAGTAGCAGCTCATTTGAAATTGAATTTATTTTCTTTTATGTTGGATTGGGTTATGTTCTTGGATGTTTTGCTATAGGAATATTTGGAGATTTTAAAGATAAAATAGTGTGGATGATTTTCACCTTGACAATCTTACAATTTAGTTTTATTTTTAGTTGGGTGGTAATAAGTTATAGAACCAACATTTATTTTTTTTTTTAGTTGTTTGCTGCCATGTTGGGGTTTTGTGCCTCAGGCTTGACTTCTTCAATTGTTTCATTTTTATGCTTTGAATTTTCATCTCTGATATATATGGTGGACACAATTTATATTATCTATTCAATATGTTTTGCCATATCTTCATTGTTATTCATATTTGGAAGCAGCGATGTATTTGAACATTTGATTGTCAATTTATCAATAATTCAACTTGTTGCATTGAGTAATTACTACTTTATCTATAAATACTATAGAATAAAAAAATTAAGTAAATAATGAATATTGATTAATATTAAATCAAATCACTCGAAAAAATAACAAATTTTATTTACAATCGCTACACTGCTTTTAATCTTCACTCTTCCTATCCATATTGCATAATAAACATCTTTCGAGATATTGTTGATCATATATTTCATCTAGAAACTAATTATCTTCCAATTCCTGCAATTTATCCCCATCTCCAATGTACATATCATCAATAAAAATCAAAGGCAATTCATATCCATATTCCTTGAAAGCCTAAACAAATTAAACACTTTTTTTATCATTCGCAACATCTATTTTTTACAAAGCCCATTATTTCTAATCCAATATCAAAAACGCTTTAGTTTAATTCGACTTTATCTTATTACTCTAACCAGTTAAGGAAGTATAATATATTTTTATTCTGCAATGTTGTTTCTTGCTCATTTTTCGTCTCCACCATTGTTAAATGATGAAAGCTGAATAATACTATTATTAATTTATATTCATAAAATAAATTAATGTTATAAAATAAATGAAAGTGGACCCTATTCAACATTTTTATATTATCTCATTAAGCGTTAAATTTCTTCATTCTAAATTTCCAATTCTTCAGGAACTGGCAAAAAGAAATATTCTCTTGCTAAGATGATCTGATTCATCTTCTTTAAATTGATAAAACTCCTTAGTTTCATAAAAGTCAATGTTGGTATGTATTTTAAATCCAATAAATTGCAAGATGTCCTCAATTCATTGTGAGTTTTGCAAAATTATATTAATTATTAAATTTATTGAGAGTTAATTTATCGCAACAATTTCTTGTTTGCAATTATAACATCATTAGGAAGCAAAGTAAAAATAGGATAATTTTCATCCAAAACGAATAAAGTATAAGGCTTGACTTTCTCAGCTAACTCACAATCCATTTCAAGGTTTTTTTCCAATTTCAATAGATTTATTGTGGTATTTGCTAGAGGCCTTTCATATTATGCTTTTAATGGTAAAATCCGTATTTTTTTGTCAAAGTATATATCTGCAGTGTCATACATTTAATATGCAAAATATGCCCCAAATGCTAAGATTGCATATTTCAAGGCCTTCCATTTGATGATTTTTATAAAATCTGACACCACTGAGTGTTGTGCTTTAGTTTATTGGTACCTTTCTCTTAGTCTTGCAGCTTCTTCTTTTTCAAACTACTCCAAATGCTCTTTTCTTCGTGAATATTAAAATTTAATAATGGATAACATTATTTTAAATAATAATAAATTGAATCACAAGTCTTAAAATTCAAAGAAACACAGTTTCCCATCTCTATTATGATCATACCTATTTATGAGTAGGCTTACTTCAGAGGCATTATATCGAAGACCATTCATATAAAGATACTATTGCAGCTAAACTAATAAGTAAAATTAGATACATCAGTAGAACTTATATAGTTATCTCTTGTTACCGAATCAATCAGTTTAAAGAGATCTTTTGAACCATTCAATTTAGGAGGAGGTGATTACAGTAACTCAAGATACTCTTTAAATAATTACAAAGTTGAATTAGAGAATATTTCTTCAATGGGTTTATCTACAAATAGCTTATTCGATATTTATATATTTTCATTAGGCATCATTAAATTTAAGAAGTCACTAAATTGTAATTCCGTTTTGTATTGAAATAAATACTTCGAAGTTCCTGGTTATTGTTCCAAAAATTTATCATAATCCTGCATTGTTATATATCCATTTGAATTTCGATCCAAAGCCTTGAAAGCATCTAAGAAATTAAATGACTTCTAACTTAAAAGTCTTTTCTTAAGTGAGTTTAACTTAATCTCTCGCCTCATAAGTGCTACCAAAGGAATCAAGGGAGATTCAATTGATAAATAATTATCGTCCCTGTTATTCAAATCTTGAATCGGCTTTTTGTTGCTTCTTCCATTGTAAGTCAATTTGTGTTCCTTCTTTTTTTGAGTAGTCATAGATTGTAAATTGGGTTTTGCTTATTTTGGAGTAGAAAAAGTAAAATCGTAATCATCGGTTTTTTTTTTGATAAATGGAGCTGTGGTAATGATTCCATCGCCTTATTAATCAAGAAATCTTGAGATCTATTCTAATTCCTTTTCACTAATAAAGGCTAGATTATCTTTAAAATATTTCTAAACATCTTGAATTGTTCCCTCAAAAAAAACATTTTTAAATGTTTTCAAGGAATTCATTAGATCAATTTATTAATTTAGATGTCTGGCCAAAGCCAATTGGGTTTCTGGTGATAACTATTGTTTTGGTTCTTGGATTGATATTACTTTTCTTAAGGTTTGATCTGAAGGGAGTATTGTCCTTAAAAAATCAACATATTTGAATGGTTTTTAAATGAAAATTGAACATTCTTACTCTGTACACAATAATCCTTAACTCTTTAGATAGGATGATAATGAGGTAGTTGTAATTTTGTTATTTCCATCCTGTAATTCAAGAAATGCTTTATAAGGATGGAAGGTGGGTAGCTAAATTAAGAATTATCTGTTTTGCTCTATTTTCTGTTCTATTTATGCACATTCTATAAAAAAATCACATAAATGCATTATAATCAATTTTTAGATTTATATTTATTTTTCTTTTTATTGTTTTTCTTATTAGATTTCTTGGTTTCCTATTTGATTTCATCAAGTTGGAGTTATTGCAATTGTTTTTCCTATTCCAATAACTCTTCAAATGTGAGTTCTTCTTGTTAATCGTTGTCTTTATTGTCTTCTTGAAATAAGAGATTTTGCTGTTATTATTATAATTGTTTCTCAAATTTGCTAATGTTGATGATATCTCCATTATAATCCAATAATGTTTATTCCTTAAAATCCTAAGCGCATTTTTTAATATAAAATTACTTTGGTGATAATTTGCAATCTCTCAATAACATTACAATTGACACTATTCTTCTGGAAGTTGTATCCCCCAAACAGTAGAATTTGATTGTTCTTAATATCTAAACAAGCACATGCTCGATATTTATAGGAAGGTCTATGAGATAAAATAAATTGTATTACACTTCTTTCTAAGATCTCATGCAGGTCCATTGATTGTCAGTGAAAGATAAAAGGTAATGAGTGGTTTGTCCATTTTCTTCTGCAAAATAAATTAATTGGTTTTGATTAAGAGAAACCTATTGACCAAAGGCAATGGATTTTGGTATGTTAGTTTTAACTTGAGTCCATGTATAGGTTTTTAGATCCAATGAGTACATGTCTTGCAAGCATGTTCTTTCGAATAAATTGGTCGACTGAGAACCACCTGCAATGATTAATTTATTGCTATTCACAAAAGCCAGATGACTATGTCTTGGTGAAGGAGGTTGTCCTTTGAAATTCACAGGAGTAAAATCACATTAAGCAACTTAAAAGAAATCTAATTAGTTTGACAGTCTCATTTGTTCATCCAAGCCTCCAAAAATATAAAATGATAAATCAGCTATTTACGTAAATGAGAAATTAATTCTAAATTGTGGTTTGTATTCACTTTTGATAGATAATATTGTTTTAGTAGGTAAATCAGCATAAAATATTTACTATTAAGTGGCTCTGTTGTAAGATATGAACCAAATGCAGTTTTTAGTAAAGTAAGTTTGAGGATGCACAAATTGATAGTCAAATTGTTCTCCCTAAAAAACAAAGTGTTCTTCAATTGTAAATTTCTCTCTATTTATATAGATTCCATGCAATTCTGTCTTTTGTGAATAGCATATCAATAATCTATCATTATAGATATGAATAGTGTTAAAAAACGAATATTATTTGAAGTCTTGGATTGTTGATGACTTCCTCCAAAGTGTTAGTTTAACATCTATGTAATTTTATGGGAGTCTCTCTTCGAGTACATTTTCATTTGAATTAAACATTAATATAATGAATAAATAATAATCAATCGGATAATATACTTTTGGTATTCATATCCAATTTAAGATTAAGGCAAAACCTTAGGAGAGGGTACTTTTGGTAAAGTGAAGTTGGCAACCCATCAAATCACTTAAGAGAAAGTGGCAATTAAGATCTTGGAAAAAAGCAAAATAGTTGATGCCTCTGACATCGAAAGGGTTACAAGGGAAATTCAGATTCTTAAATAAATCCGACATCCCAATTTAGTTTAATTATATGAAGTACTATGCCATTATACTAAGATAATAGAAACTTAGAAATAACTCTTTCTAGTTATGGAGTATGTCAATGGTGGAGAACTATTCGATTACATAGTCTAGAATTAGCGACTGAGAGATGCTGAAGCTGCTAAGCTCTTTGGTTAATTGATTCAAGGGATAGAGTACATGCATAAATTGAGGATAGTGCATAGAGATTTGAAACCTGAGAATCTGATGTTGGAGAATAAATAAAGAGTCAAAATTATTGATTTTGGACTATCAAATTTATATGCCAATGATGAATTTCTAAAGACAGCATGTGGGTCACCTTGTTATGCAGCACCTGAAATGATAGCTGGTAAAAAATACAATGGATTGAATTCTGATATTTGGAGTGCTGGCGTTATCTTATTTGCTATGTTGGCTGGTCATCTGCCATTTGAAGAGGCCAATACAAATTTATTATATAAGAAAATATTGGCAGGGGAATACAAATGTCCCAATGCAATTTCTTTGCCTGCCAAGAATTTAATTGCTGGTATTTTATAAACTGATCCTCTAAAAAGATACACCATTACAGACATCAGAAGACACCCTTGGATGACTAATAATTACAAGGCTCCATTGTAAATGGGAATTATTGTTGGACTTCATAAAATACCATTAGATTTTGATATTTTGAAATAATTAGTTAAATTGGGTTACGCGCAAGACTATATTGAAAAATGCGTGGAAGGCAATAGACACAATTAAGTGACGACGATGTATTATTTATTATTAAAGAAACATCTACTCAACGGAGGAAAATCTTTTGCTGGTAATATTTTTAAGCTTTACAAAAATAGATATTGGCTCTGACATATTCACTCCTATACCACTTCCACCCAAACATGCCTCTACTTCCGATTATGGCACTAAATAGAACAATAAACCCCTGCCTGTTATTAGACCTAAGCCTCATGATGAATCTCCTATCAATCTCAGAGGTCGTTATAATAATAACTCTCTGCATTCTCAATAAACTACAACTTTGAATTAATCACCTAAAATCCATTCTGTAGATTCAAAAAAACCCTAACTTGAAAATTTTAAATTAGATTTGAATTAAACTTTAAGAGATCCTAATTATGGAAAAAATATCACTCCATCAGTTAGACCTAGAGGAATCAGTGATTATTAGTGTAGATTTGGAACAAATGGTCACGAGTCCACAAGATAGAAGTCAGTGGATTATGGCCAAACTAATTAAATAAATATACCCTATTATAATGATACTAGAATGAAAACATTTTACAAGGTCAAGTGATTATAATTTTCCATTCTGCTCTTTAATATTATAGTAATTAATTTATAAATAAATTGTTTTTATGTTTTCACCTCGTTCAAATTAACAAACTCCAACTTAAAGGAAAATAGGAAGAAAGATGACAGAGTCATCACATAAATCTTCAAGAAAGATTGAAATCTAAGCCTTGCCTTCTGGTATCAGAATTATAATTGCTGAATCAATACTTGCATAAAATCATATCTCATCCATTAGAGACAGTCTAATCAGATATCTAAAATATGAAGGTATCATATGTATTTTATGGTTAGATTCCTATCAAAAATTAAGACCTGTAGATATTCAAATTATGAATGAGTATGCTTTGACATAAGTTTCATTTGTCAAAGAATTTAGTGAGAAAAAAGAATTAATTGTAAATATGCTCCTCCATCTCTTTTTTTACAGAAATGCAAAATATATCAAGCAATGCTTTTAAGAAAAGAATTAAGCTGATGACATCAAGGAATTCCAAAGATTATTAGTTTTCCACAAAAGTGAATTAAATTCCTTAGAAGTTAGAACTCTCCTGACTTGGCTACATGATTATATCGCCCATTATGATTTATTCTATTTCAAAGCATTATCTGATGATGGATTAGACATAGTTTATAATGTTGTTTTGGATATTCCCACCTTTGTACCTCCATTGTCATAAGCAAATTTTATACCTTAAAATGTATTTGATTTGATATAAATAGAATAAATAATATGCAGATGTTGATTCAGAAGAGGAGGAAAAATATGCCAAAAGAAGAATCAAAATGGAAAAAGAAAATCAAGAAGTTGAAGACGAACTATAAGATAATCAAGAACAAAATGCATAATAAGACAATGAGCAGAAAAAACCAAATGAATTTGAGGAATACATACAATAATAAGTTTTTGGAACTTCTTAACAGTTATTTTAGAAGATAGAAGAGTAGAATAAAATAATTATTGAATAAGTTGAAAAGGAAAACAATAAAAAGAAAAAATGAAATTTAAAAATAAATCTTTTTTATCCCTTCCATCATCATCTTGTCTTTATAGTTGGATTTAATCAATTCCACAATATAAAATACTTCAGGTTTAAACTAATTTGATTGTCTCTCTTATAAAGAAAAATTTATTGGATAACTTTAAATTCTTACTCTACAATTGTGGATGATGATAAATTCACTTTATCTAATTAATAATTGTTTAAAGACATAAATTTGCTATTTTAATTACTATTACTAACAAGTATCTTTTTTATTCTATAATTCTCCTTTATCCACATTTTAAACAATTGCTGTATTTAATATATTGCTAATCTAAAAATAATTTAACCTCAATTATGTTCCTTTATCAATAAGTTATTTATTATATATCACTCTTTTTCTTTAGTGTTCTATTTGAAGTGGCTGATTTTAATTACAAAAAAAAATAATTAAATAGTTGATTTATTTATGATATAAAATCTAAAAATTAAATATAAATAAAATAAATAAATATTAAATCAGAAAAATACATTATGTATTGGAACACCTGAAATTTAATGAGTTGGATTAAAATATTAATTTTCAAGCAGCTTAAATTAGAATTTTAAAATAAAATTGGTTAAGCTATTTTCTTATGATAATCAATTTATCATGTGATAGTTAAACTTTATTTTCTTAAGAAAAATTTGAATTTTAAATATCATTTTACTTGTCAATTGTATTAATGAGAAAATAAAATTGATCAGTTATATCTAGAGATCAATTTAGTTTCTTTGAATAAAAATTATATTTGAAGACTTTAAATTATTAAGATCATAATGAAGAGATTATATTGGATTATTTATAATACTTTCACAAATTGAATTGTAAAATCAGTTTAAATTGATATATTTATACAAATAAACACTATCTAAAGTATTAAGAAGTCGATTAATTTTTTAAGTTATTGAATTTGTAATCACGTGATAATTTATAAAATTACATGCTTAAATTTCCAAAAGTGACGAAGTTTGATATTTGATTTTGATTATTATAAATAATTATTAATCAATGCCTAAGCCGATTGGAGTAAAATCTCATAACATGTTTCTAGGACATTCCAATGAGTGTAGAATAGCAAATACATATCATCAATGGTGGGTTACTAAAGTGTGAAGACATGCATGATGGATCATGCTTGGTTGATGCTGTACTAAGGTTTGTAAAAATTTGGAATAATTCATACAAATATTATATTCCAATTCATTTAATCCCCCTCCTATTATTTTAACGAAAGAAATTAAAATAGAAGTAATATTTTATAGCATAATATTAATAGTCCAGGCAAGACATTAAAGCAATTTTTATTGGAATTTTGTGGTTCTTTATTTTTTGTTGCAGGCTACATATCTGCTTGTAAATACGTTTTTTGTGTGCTGAGAACATTGGAATTCAACAATAGTAATCATTAAATTAAATTAACCAAGGAATATCCTTAAGTTTTTCTGGATTGTTTTCAGGGGTTTTTCTTTTTGGAGAAAAATTAAATAGAAGAGCTGAAATAACTATCTTTTTAGCCCCAAAATTCTTAGAAACAGTTTGGCATATGTTACAGAAAAGAAATTTGGTGATGAAAATTGATTACTGGGAATATTTTGTTTTTGGAATTGCTATGGGAATAATAAACTATTATTATATCAATAATGTAAAATATAATTTTTAATCTTAATTTAGCCTAACCAAATTAAATACTCTTATTTGTAAGTATTCAAAAAAATATGGAATTGACCCATTTTACATTTATATAACAATAATTAATAAGAATACTATCATTTTTTTTTCAAAAAAAAATCACTAAGTGTGGCTGGTCCACTACTGTGCATATGAATAGTTCCTGAAGTTGGTAATGTAGCATCTCCTTGCATGTCATCATAATATGAATTTGGATGATAATTTGGCCTTTCCAATGCTCTAAAATTATAATTCTTAGATTAAAAATTATGAAACTCCCTCTAAAATTACCCTTGATCCATGGCAACATCAATTTTGTCTGGCAAAGAATCTGGTTTGAAAGTTGGAAATTCATCTACAGATTCTATAAATTATGAGTGATAGGATTGATTAATGTATGATTGACTCTAAGATGTAGGAGTATTTATTCTAAGATGATGTATTTTTTATTTAACCTTTTACAACTTCTCTCCAAATTAATTAAATAGTTAATCTAATTGAGCATCTTACTTCCTTTCAGGAGAGATGAAGCTATTTGAGCTATGTTAATGAAGGTTATGGGAGATTTGATAGTCATATTCAGTTTTTATTCTTCTGTTATCACTAAAATGATAGGAATCCGCAGTTTCAGGGCTCTGTTTTCTAGATCTCTCATAGAACTGGGATGAATTCAATTGAGTAGGAGCTTTCGAATGGTAATTTGATTAAGTATTATATTACTGTCTCTGTGGAACATAGAAAGTCATTTGAGTTTGAGGAGTTTTTTATTCTTATTGATTTCTTTCTAAATGTGTGGTGCTGTAGTTATTTGAAGTATATGAATTTTAAATATGATAGGCATTTGATTTATTGACATTGTTCTAGGATGGAGAAGGACTCTGTGTTTGATATTTATTGTTTAGACTTGCGCTGTTTACACCCTTATCCATTTGAGCGCGAGTGCCTATTGAATTCATTGTCGTATTTAAATTCTGCTTTTGACCCAACACTTTTTCTAATTAATATAGATCGATTCTTTATTCTTCATCTACTTAGAGCATCTTTGCTAATAGATCAACAAATGAGGGCTAAAATTGTTGAGACAATACTCTCAAATATGTATTGATTACATCTTAAGAGACTTGGAATTTGGATAAATCATAAACTGATTAGACAGATTATTGAAGTGCTAATTCCAGGATTACCAAACCTAAAGAAAAAACCTTAATAAGTAAATTTAATACTTCTGATTTCTCATAATTGTATATAGGGTTCATCGTCCTCTTTCCCAATTCGTAGACTAGAAATGGAGCCAAATAACATTAATTTGTAAATCCAATTAACTGCATCTTGTATTCATACATGTCAGTTATAAATCGAATATCTGTTAATTGGTATCTATTATTTTTGGTTGCCAATATTGTTTGAGGACTCAACTGACCATGTCTTATTCTCTTGGATATGAAAATCAACAATGCTTGTGTTACATCTCTAATTATCTATAGACAATCAAACTGGCTGAGTTTCTTCATCTCTCCAATACATTTTTCTGTATATTAATATTACAATGATATTCCGAAGAGTTGACCACAAAACGATTTCTACTCACTCGTAGTAAATTTCACAAGTTTGCATATGGTTGGATCTGAAATTTATGTTCTCTTTTGTGTTTCACTTCTAGCTTATTCATATTGAACAAAGGAATCATAGGTTTTATTTATTTGGATAACTTACTCATTTTTGCTATTGATCAAATAGCCTTAGCCGTATGCAACATTATTAACATCTTAATTCATTATAATATAAATTATAAATTTTATTTCAACAACTCAAATTTCGAATCGCAATTCATTTTCTTCTCTATTAATCCCCTAAAACTATTATTAATAGTTTATTTGTTGTAATATTGCACTCTCTATAACACTATAGACAACTGCTCACAAAACTCTAAATCTTAACAATGCAGTAAGGTTAACAAAATTTCAAAGTGCTTAGTCAATTGTAATAAAAATTAATTCTAAAACTAACCTTAAGCAATTATTTCTAATAATAATTGAACCATATTTCTATCATCAATCATCTTTATCACAAAGATATCCAATAAACCATTGTCTAAAATGAATTTCTGAACATCCTCATTACACTAAATATTAAAAATACATAAATACAATTTCTTAAGAAAGATATTTTATTGATATTGCAATATCTCGCTCATATAATAGTAAGATCATAGCAACTAAAGTTTAATTTTTCTTTTTCTTTTCTAATAATGCCTTCAATTAGAGTATAAATTCCCTGTTTTTTGAATCGTGAATCCCAATGTAATATTTGCAACTTTGTTATTTTTTTTGATTTTTTATGAGCTCCTCTACTTGTTAACAATTAATTGAGGAACAAGTATTTTTAAAATAAAAGTAAGATAGTTATAACAGCAATTTATACATTTATTAAAATCCTTATTTATTAATCACTATTGCCATTAAGTTACCTAGAAGATCTATTAAATTATCCTATAAGCAGCAAGGTAATAGTTCTTAATTCCACTTTTGATTATTAATTCCTAATTATATTTGCAATTGGTCTAATCCAAGAAATATTGATTCAAAAACACTTTAAAACACTTTAATTTATTTGATTCCATTATCAGAGTTACTTGTTGTTTTTTTTTATTGTTCTGCTTGTGGTTATAATTATTATTACTGTTATTATTTTGGTTATTCCAATATTTATTATTATTGTTTTAAAGGTAATACTAATTCATTTTATTCAGTTTAATAAATTTATTCTTTTATTTATTCCTTCTATTCAATTAATTTCTAGTTTATTTTCTCTAACTTTTTTTATAACTAAATTGTATTATCTTTTTCTAAGGAAAGCTTCTTTTCTAATTCCAATATCCTAACTTTCTAAGATTCAACTTATTTTTCTAATTGAGTGTTCCTCTACTTCAACCTTTAAATTTCTTAACTATAGGTAGAATTATTCTTTTAAATTGAAGAACCTTTCAGTTCAATAAGCTTAACTTTGGATTTCAGTTGATGTTCCAAATTACTAAACTTTTTATTTAAATTACTTAATTTTTATTAATATTATTCTTCCATCATTTTACTTAGAATGTCATACACTTATTAAATACTGTTTGACATTTCAGATTTAAATTTTTGGAGCGAGTATTCATATTCTACTAGTTCTTTTTCTTTTTTGATTTGCATCACTTATTTTTTCTCCAGTAACTATTTAACATTTTCCAACTCATCCACAATTTCATTGTTGATCTTCTACTTTTCCTTCCTATTAATGTCTTGATAGGTTTCTTCAGCTATTTCTTCAATCAACCCCTTGATTCCTTTGTCTCTGGTGCTCAATTGAAGAGCATTCAAAGAGACAATGTTTGGGTCAACAGTAACAATTTTATTTTTTAAATTTTCTTTAAATTATAATTTTTGCTCCGCATTTTGAAATTCAATTGAGTACTCTTGTAATAATATTTTGTAAAACTCTGTGAACTTGACTGGTCTGCCCTTTATCAAGGTCAATAATGCCTTGGTTTGTTTGTGTGTACACACTTCGTCTTCTGGGTCTATGCAATCTACTTTGGACAATTGTAAATCTGACCCCTTTTCAATGTATTTCGCATATTGTTTGTTGAGAAAGGAACTCTTATCAAGAGTGGGCCTAGATTATTCAGTCTAATCCAATTGATTGAGCCTGTTTTCAAGATCCATATCAAATTAATGGGTAGTGGAGATTTATTCTAAAATTTGCTAATATTTTTGTAGATCAAAGGGATGTCTCTTTTTATTTTGATCGTCTTCATCAACCCTTGCTTTGAGAGTTCTTATTCCTGAGAAAGTTAAATTAGACATAATTTGAATTATATTAATTTATTAAGATGTTAGCCACTATGAAAGGACGTAAGAGTTCTGCATCAAAATTCGATAGGAAAGAGTTTGATCAGAGAACATTGAGTGCTGCAGTGAATTTGATCGTCTATGGATGCCATGTTCAGAAATATAACAAATCCAATAAGAAACCGATCTCTAGATTATACTATTTATACGAGGAAGACATGGATTATTTGTAATACCTCCATTCTGGAAGACCCTTTGCATAATGTAGAATTCCATTGCTAGATATCATTGAATTAAGGGAAATTCCAACAACGGAATAATTCTAAAACCTGCCTTATCAAAGAACTCTGTAAATAACTTTCGCCAGTAAGAAGCACACCATATTATTTAACACTATGGATGAAAGAGATTTATTTTGGCAAGGCTTGTAATATTTCATTGATGTTGCAGAACACAATTTGATAAGAGACGTAAAAAGCACGAATGATAATCCGATAGTTGAATAAATCACTTTAAAATAAATTAAAGGAATGCTACCGCAATTGTCAATCACAAAATAAGAAGTAAGTATTTCTAAATCTATTCACAGCTAAAAAGTCTGTTTAATCAATACGATTTGGAAAGAAAAGGATACATTTCAAATTCTGATTATCAAGATCTACTAAAAAGATTAATGAATCAGGATTTTGTGCGATTTCTTTTTGATAGATATGCAATTCAATAAATGAACAAATAAGAATTTATTAAATTCTTAACAAATGAATAATCCCCATATCAAAAACAATGTGAAGATGCATTTAGATTGTTTGCAAAATAAGATGGAAACAGCTTTTCATTATCCTTCTTAGAATTCCTAAACTATCTATTGAGCACCTACAATCAATTGTTTGATTATCAGAAGACACAAATCTACCAATCTGAAGATTTCCCTTTGACTGATTATTGGATCAATTCTTCGCATAACACCTATCTAATGGGGGATCAGTTGACAAGTGAGAGCTCCATCCAGGCCTACATAAATGCCTTTCAGAAGGGTTGTCGATGCGTGGAATTAGACTGTTGGGATGGAGATAATAATCAGCCCATAATATATCATGGATTTACAATGACTTCAAAAATATCATTTGAATCTGTTATCGAAACCATCAAGGAATATGGATTTAAATACTCAAAATACCCCTTGATTCTCTCTCTTGAAGTGCATTGTTGTGTTAAGCAACAGGATGTTATGACAGACATATTAAAAACGTATCTAAATGACAATCTCCTACTTTTGCCTGATGATTACCAGTCTTCTGATTATTATCCAAAACTAAATAAGCTATATTATAAGGTAATCATAAAGCATAGAGGTAAAATGAAATCGAGTCTACAATATCGAGAAAGATTCATTTCGATATCACCAATCAACGTAATTCCACCTCCTTTTGAAGAATCTGATAGTCCAGACATTGCTAAAAAACCTAGTTCAAGTGTTTAAGTAGAATAATACCTGAACACACCAAGTACATTAAAACCAAGATCGTAAAAGTCATTTAAGAGACAAGATCATGGACTGCCTATCAATTAATATCGACAATCTTCTAATATATTCTAGATAGAGGAGGAGATCAAGCCAAATAAAATAATACATAAAACGAAGACAGAAACTACATTGAGACCTAAATACAAAATTTAAAACATTGAGACTCAAATTCAATTTGATGCACCTAATCCCAGATGTCAAATTGTGCAAATACCATTAAAAGTGGATTCGGATGAAGATGTCTCCATAGACAAGGCTAAAAAAGACAAATCTGAAAGTCTTAAGATGAGCTCTATTACAGCCTTATTTGGAGCACCAATTAAACAATAAATCAGAACAGTTTGGGAAATCTCATCTTTGGAGGAGAGTAAAGTCAATGAAAGTCTCCTTGATTTTCATAGAAAGTATTTCACTCGAATTTATCCATCTGGTTCAAGAGTAGATTCCAGTAATTATGACCCTGTTCCAGCCTTCAATAGTGGATCATAGATAGTGGCACTCAATTTTCAGAAGAATGACATGCCGATGCTGATAAATATGTGTAAATTTATGGAGAATGGAGGGATTGAATCTGGATATGTGTTGAAACCATAATGGATGAGATCAGATGGAAAGAAAAAGATCAATGAATTTACTTCTATTCAATTGTCATTCACTCTCAGTATATTAGTTGGTTATCATCTTAGATTATTGAATGTATTTTAATTCTTTTATTTAAAAGGATTAAAATGCGAAGGTTAACCCCTCAATTAAAATTTCTATCAGAGGCCTATTATAAGATGAATAAAATAACAAACCGTAAATCGCAACCATCTCGCAAAATGGATTAAATCCTTAATTTAACTTTATTTATAAGTACAATATTAGATGTCCAGACTTGGCATTTTTGATCTTTGAGGTACTTGATGCCAGCAAGACATTCTTAGGATGGAGTGCCATACCTCTTTCATGTATGTCTTATGGCTATAGGGCTGTTTCATTATTGAGTTAATACTTGAAGCCATTGCCTAAGAGTTGCCTCCTGGTTCATGTTCAAAAGCATTGACTGAAACTTTTATAATTAATATGTTTAATAATATCAAGAGAAACTTAACAATCTTTAACAGAGACATCGTTGAATCATCTTGGCTCAAATGCTTAATTGATGATGTACCTAAGGCAAAACACATCCAAGTAGTGTTAATCCGCTATTTTCACTTAGATACTTCATAATTGTTTACAAGGCGAATACAGTAATGTTGACCCCAAAATAGCACTTCGAAAGATTTCACTAAGATTGCAACACTCTCTAAAACCTTTAAATGCTCTCAAATCCCTATATTTGGCACATGTTCTAAATAGGGTTCTTATACCTCAATTGACAGATAAAATTATTGATCAATAGTGCAAGGATCCAGCAGATCTCTTAATGGCTTCTGTTGCTCTATTATATTATTCTTATCTCAAATCACAAAAAAATGTTTTTGAAAAGATCGACAACATTTTAAAAATGAATAGGCAACTCGAAGTTTTATTGCTAAAGACCAATATTCCAATCATAAAGGAAATACTCTATTTACTTATTATTGACATTATAGCTTTATTTCATTCAATTGATTAGAAAGATGATCAAGAAAAAAGGATTAGAGCTATGAAATAAGTGCGAAGATTTATTGATTTAAAAGGATATTTATAAATCAATTAAGAATTATAAAATAAACTGAACACTCTTAACTTCTAAGAAATCAAATAATAACAACAAATTGAATGGAAAATCTGTAAAACTAATCCGAACAATTAAGAAATTCAAATTCAGCATTTTGAATTAAATAAAAAGCAACTTTCAATACAAATAAATGAAAGTACAAATTTTGAAAATTACCAAACCTGCCAAGAACATCCATAGGATAGAAGAATGAGTTTGCAAACAAGAACAATCTCAAACCAAAAAGGAATAGTTTAATCCAACACAACCACAGCCTCATCTATTAGAAATAACTTCTTTATCCCTAAATAAGGACCATTATCTTTTTTGATTCCAAGTTGAATATATATATATGTAGAATTTTCATTATACTAAATGAACTTAACTTATGAATTTCTTCTAAATACTAAATTGTAGAGGCTGATGTCAATTGATGGATAGAAAATAGGTGGACAATTTTAAGGAAATGTAATTTCAAGGAATTATTTGATTTTAGATTATTATAATAATTTCTTTAAAGACAAATGATGATTGCTGAGGATTTTGATAGTGAAGTTTATGATACTTCACTTGATAAATTTAAAACATATGAGGAATACTTGGATTCTCACATCACAAAGGAGGATCTATTTTATTTAGAAGACATCGAATTGGCCAGATAATTGAAAGAGCAAGGTTATCATGCGAAGACAGAAATTTTGAGTCGCGAACAATTTGAGGCCAAAAAGAAGGCTGTGGAAGAAGCTAGATTAAACTAAAATAAAGATAAAACTAAGGCACTTGCTCACACTGAAGTTAGTGATCCTTCTATTATTGAAAAATCACCTTTTTTGAGAGCTTTGGCTGAAAGGTAATTGATATTTGTAAATAATAGAGAGTTGAAAGTCTTGAATGGAAAATTGTTAACAATTATTTTTATTAGATTGGAATCAGCTAATTGCGAAGTAAGCGGTTACATTGATTATGCACATCGTTTGAAAACTGAAGATTTTAAAATATATTTTGAAGGGAAGAAAAAGTTGTAACCCAGACCAACGGATCTGTCTTATTATAATTGGAGGACTGGGTAGTGCGTTTCAAATGATTCTCCTAACTTCAAAGTGGATGCTAATTCTGGATAACAAGGGTTACTATTTAGAAACAAAAGAGATAGAAAAGTATTAATTTGGCACTATTCACAAAGGTTATTAATGTGGATCCAAATAAAAAACCAGAAGATGGAATGACAAGGACTGAAATAGAATCTCCAGAAGCAATTTAAATCGTTTTGTACGACTATTACACAAGAAAAAAATGAATGTTTTATTATTTATTGTTATATTTATAATATTAATTAGTTTAGGCAAGTTCTTAAATTCACTAATTAAGTAATACTAAGGTGTTTAATTAGCGTAAATTTATATAACTATACCAAGTTAGTAAATTTATTGAGATATTCATTATTATGGTTTTTTTTCTTTGAATGATTTTCCATCAAAATGAGATACAAATTCCAGCTTTGTTCATTTACTTAATTAATGAAATCTAAGTTGGTCTGTTTTTAAATTAATGCTCAATCCCTTTTTTATTTTTCTTATCATATTAAATTGTGTGAGCTATAGAAAAAATGAATTCAGAATTGGGATCCATCTCAGAACGTGCTCCTTTAAAAACGTAGCCGACTCTCCCAAAATAATAGCTAAGGCCAGCATTCTTAAAGACAGTTAATTTGAAAACTATACACACTAATAGAATGAACTCATTTCAAAATAAAATCTGGAGAGATAGAGCACTCTTAGTACTAATCTAAGTACTTCGCTTTATATCACTTATTACTCGCAGTCCCTTTGCATCAAAATTCTCTTTATTGGATAGAAATATGTTTAGAATTATTGGGGATAAAGCAGCTGATTTCAATTATTACTTGCTCCATGATTATTTTAAATATATGGTAATATGTCAACCTTATCAAGAAACCCGAATAATCCTCTCGCGTCAAATATTTCTTACAATAGCGCCTTTATAAGATTTGTTACATGAAAGGAGTCATGGATTATATGACCAATTTAAGGCTCATCTTTGAACCAGAGTCCATTTTACTACTGTTATGGAATATTCTTTAACTCATAAGCATCAATTTAAACATACTGTATATAACTGTTAAATTTTCTTTTGATTTTGAAAACTACCCACCTGAAAGTTATGAATTTTGCGAAATTTTTCTATTCCAAGTCCCCTTTTTTTTATATTTGATAGACATCCTAATTTAGCTTAACACTTGCTATTACGAAGCAGGCTACCTAGTTAAGGATAGAAATAAGATTTGGTACAACTTTTACAAAAATAGTATATTTCAACATTTAAAATTTTAGATTTTTTTAATAATTTACTTATATTAGTTCCTACTTCCATTTACTTTTTAGCCTTATAAGATTCCCCGCTTTATTTATTTATGCTTCTGAAGGCTATATCAATACCAACTATAACTGAAGCCATCATAGACAGAGTAGAGCTTACAACCAATTACTGGATCATCTATGACCTAATCCGTTTGATTTACGTGATTCTTTACGAATCGCATATTTGTTGTTGTGGATTATTCTATGTAGGACTTTTGAACAAGGAAGCCTCTTGGTTATTACAAAATGACCTAATCAATGAAACTTGGATTATAAAATATGTATATTTATATTTTATCTTAGCTCAGTACATTCTATTGGAGTATAATCACTATGACTACAATAGGCTATGGTGATATTACACCTTAGAATCTATTTGAAAAGTCGTTTCTAATATTTGTTGCTATTTTTTCATGTTGTACATTTGGTTATTCAATTAATTGTATTGGCCAGATTATTGGGTAATTGCAATCAAAGAATCACTAAATTCGAGTTGATTTGAATGATTTAAAATAGTATCTTAGAGTTAGGGGATACAACAGTAAGTTGTAGATAAAGATTCTTAGATTTTTTGAATATTTATGGAAGGATTAAAAGAATGAAAATCAATTAGACTTAGTTAAATTCAACTAACAATTGCCATCTCATTTGCATAGTGTAAGATAAATAATATTATAGGAAATGATGATAGACCTTAACATGAAGAGTATATCAAAGATCCCTTTCTTCAAAGAGAATTTTAATGAGGATTTCATATCAGCGTTGGCGTCTAAATTTACTGAAGAAAAGTTGGTTCCATTCAATACAATATTTTCAAAGAATGATCCTAGCAATTTTTTATACATCTTGTGTGATGGGGAAATTGAATATTTTGTCGAAATTCCAGAGGGTTCTGCTACTATTTTAAGTATCCAGACAATAACTGGATAGGACGAAATATTTGGTTAGCAAGAGTTTCTCTTAGATTAGAACTATGAAATAAGTTGTAGATCAACTACATCATCAAGAATATTGAAAATATCCAAGATGGACTTCAATATAATAGCCAAGAAATTTGGATATGTATATAGCTTTCTTAATCCTAGGAAAAATACTGTTAATTGAAAGATTTAGTCAAATTCTCTGGTCGATTTGATGAATTTCATTTGCATTGTGTTGGGTGTAATAAATCTACGCACATGCTCTATTAATGTCCGATGTTAACTGGTTTTCCTAATAAAACCAAAATAATCATTCAATATCGTAAGAATCAATTGTAAGAAAGGAAGTTCCACACAAGAAATAACTTAAAAAGAAGATTGTCATCACTCATTTTTGAGGCATAAATATCTGATACAGTGCTTTACTATCTATTGAAAGACCCTAAACTATCCCTATAAATTAGTTCTTAATATTACATTCAAACCTTAAAACAGTAGTAGATGTAAAAAGAGTAATAGAATAATATTTCTAATGTGCATAAGTTGCCTAAAGATGAGGTCAGATAAACAGGAAGGAAGCAATCAGTCTTGAATATTAAAGGTAGAAAGCAATCTCAGTATATTAAAAGATTGCCTGATTTTCTTAATGGTCAGTATATCAATTTTAAATCAATGGCTGAAGATAAGATTAAAACTGGAGTAGACAATATTTCTAAGAATGTGTCTGCATAACAATCGGAGACTCCGAGTCCTGAAAGAAAACAAAATACGAAAATGAAGACTCAGGAAGAAATCAATATTTTTGAATAACATAGGATCTCTGCAGATATTGCTAAGACTTTATCCTTCAAATCCATGAATTAATCATCTCAGGATTAGGAATAATAGTTAAATTCGGATACTGATAGTGTTAAGGAAAACTCTGAATTGTCATAGTAGAATTCTTCGCTGTCATAGACGAGCAGTGAATCTCCTTCAAAAAACTAGAAGGATGTCAGTCCAGGGATTGATCAAATCACTCAGATTTATATGGGTACATACAAAGATATTTTTGAGAAATTCGACAAATTCCAGGATTATTAAAATTATATGACACATATGAATTCTTCTAAGATTCTTGAACAACTCAATCAATTCAAAGAGACACAGAATTTTACTGATTTTATGAATGTGAACTTTGTGAGAAAACGTAGATCAAAACGTAGTAAATTGGTAATAAAAATTGATTATTGAGATTATTATTAATTTATTTATGTACAGATTTAAACTCTGTCTAAATTATTCACGTTTGAATTAATCGCTTTCTGCTTTTTTGAAAAAGTACAAGACGAATTAAAAGAATGTGATTCAAGTTGACAATAAATTAGTCGAAATTGATAAAAGTATTTCACGATAGCCAAAACCAATCCAACCATAATAAACAATTCCTCAAGAAGATCAATTAAAATAGAAATATCTCTTATAGAGAGCAAAACCAATTGATCTCAACGAGAAGGACAACTTCAGTCATTTTAATAGAGCACAATAACTGGCATTAGATAAATAGGTAAAGTAAGTAGGAGAAGATTATAAAGTGGAAGCAGAAGTATTGAAATTACAAAACAAAGGAGAATTGTGTAATGATTCATTTTATTATTAATAGTGATTGATGACACCAAATTGCCGAAATAATTCTTGGCAACTCTGGATAGACAAAGAAAGAAAGGTAAGAGAATGCTGAGGAGATTCTTTATCGATGGTGAACATCGTTACGTGAAGGAAAATATCTATAAATTCAGAAGTGTGGCTGAATGGAAGAAATACATGAGATTTAAGAAGCCTATGTTGATTGATTTAAAAATGGAATAATTTAAGAGATATCCAGGTACAGACAAGGGAAAATTTCCTTTGTAAGACAAGCCTGGATTTACAAGTAAAAATTGATCTCAAATTTATAGAGTGGTTTAGAGAAAATCATACTCAGAAAACAGTGGATGCAATTGAATATTTAGTCAGAAAAGGATATGGTAAACAACCTGAAATAATGATGAAGAAGAAGAAGGGTTATAGATCGAGGACAAAGAAAGCACTAGCAAAACTTGACTTGAAAAAAAGATTATAGAGATTAAAGCAAGAAATACATGAGGAGTCAAATTGGGAGACTGTGGCTCCAGGACCAGCTCTATTCGTTAAGGAAACCATGATGGAACAATTATTGAAGAGGAATCCAATTAAAGATTTGGGATTAAATACGAATATCAAAATTCAGACTCATATACCCGATGGAGAAGTTCAACCATTGCCAGAGAAGTACCCTTTAGAGAAGACCGAATTGATTTACTATTTGGAAAGATGGTCATTCTTCAGATCATTTGGAGCATATTAATTATTGAAGGATATCATAACTGGTAAGCAAGAATCTAGTCCACAGGAACCTGTTAAATCTGGATCCTTGAATACATATTACTAGACATTACCTAAACATATTAGAGACAATCCCAATGTTAAGAATGTGTACAGAGGATTGGAATTCGCAAATAATTAGATGACATTGGCTGAAAAAGAAAACTCTTTGAATTATGCTGCCAGATTATCTTGCCAATTTGATGAAATGAATCAAGAAGTCTATGATTTAGGATCAGCTGGATACAGACCTATGATTTCAAGATTCGATGAGGAAAGATTGATGCAAGATCAAGAAAATGAACATGTCGATACTGCTATTGTAATTCAAATTTGTTTAATCTTTTACTTAGAATCCAGATGTAGTCTTCAAGTATTTAGAACAGAGAGCACACACTCCAAGACATGTTGCTAAGGATGATGTTCCTCTTCCTGATTGGGCTGTGGATAAATCGGAGAGAGTGGATGATATTCCTGTTGATTACTACATCAACGACGATGGATTCTGGGATGATTACATTAAAGCCAAAGAAGAAAAACACTTAAAGGACAGTCCAATATCTGGAGGAAAGAAATATTTTAGACATATTTGAAAGAGTATTTTTATAATAATAACATTATCTTATGTTTCTGTGGCCAGAAGGGTATAATCGTCAACCGTAAAATCCACTTAAACAATTGATTGAGAAGACTCAAGGTGATATTCTCCTGTTGCTTGAGGCAGAACTATTTGTAAAACAAGCAAGATTGGGCGATGCATTGGCTGTGGAAACCCTGGTGCAAGGCACTGTTGGTTTACTAGAAGTTATGTTTATGGACTACGAGCATGTGCTAAGTGAACATTTTGAACAATTGACCAATCAATATGCCATCATGTGGGAATTAATTGACCTCAAACTTGAAAAAGTTAATGCTCAAATTCTGGTAATTATGCTTTCTCTAAACTTAGACTCATTGGGAATTAGTGTTTTAATTGTTAAATAATCAGTTAACAGTAGAAATATAATGGTATTTTGCTTTACGCATCATCTCATTTGTTAGTTAAGAGAAATCTGCTCTCCTAGATAAAAATCAAGATAAGTTGATCAAATTGTATCACCATCTTGAATACACTTATGTAGCCTAACTTATTATCGAAATGATGGGTGCTCGTATGAATTAATACCAGCAATCATTCCTAAGTAAAGGGATTTAAGAATTCGATTAATTAACTGAATTGCAAGCCATAAACTTTACTTAAGTAATTCATGAACTATTCACAAAATCTAAGAATAAAGACTTGATTGATTTCATAACAGCCAGTCAAATTTTGGCTAAAATGTTCGAAGTTATTTAATAAACGAATAAAATGTAAGATTCGTTTATCTATAAAATAGAGTGACCAAAAATGCTGCTCACATCATTTCTATCATCTCTAACCATTACTCTATTGAAATGCAGAATCTAGATTTGGAGGAGGAAGAGTCAGAACAAATCACATCGTAGTTTCATTCAACTCTTTTTTACAAAGTTATCATTTCCAATTTACACATCATAAACAATATCATCAAAGATTATTGTGATAGCAAGTAAAAAATAAGTCAATTGATAATCAAATTAATAGAAGTAAAATTTATAATTTATTATTCATTAGATTGTTGATAATTTAGTTAGAATCACAGATGTCTCTCTTTGGGAATGTATGCATTAATCTGAAATCATGGTTTCAATGATTAGATTATGCAATCTATATTCAAAGTCAGACATCCTATCCTCTTAAGTGGAAAGAATCGTTTTTTATATCTTTGAAAGAGCCTTAAATGATAATCATCCCTTTTGGGCATTTTAATTTATCAAGGTTTATCAAATATAAAACAACACAAATTCTATGTTTAATAGATAAGTTTTCTCTTTTGAGTAGGAGTTGAATACAAAAATCACAAAGGAATTGGATTATATTACATATGATACCTAGATCCTAGAAATTAATTCTGAATTGCAACAATCAAAAAATTGGGAACGAACCAAATGGGAATTGAAATTATAACAATGTGAAAATTAAAAAAAATTAGGATCTCAAATGAAAATAAATGATGAAGAAATGAAATTGGTTGAAGGGAATGAAAGCAAAAATTAAGTTAAGGACACTTCTGAGGAAATTAAAGGAGGAGTATAGAATATTGTGGAATTGAGTAAGGAAGAACAAAAGTAGAATATTAATGAGGCAAATGAAGACCAAAAAGAAGAAGAGTTAGTTAGAGATAGTGAATCAGATTCATCATCATCATCTTCAAATGATTCGAATGAAGAGACTCAAAAATAGAGTGATTCACAAGTTAAGAAAGACAAGTCATATATGACTGTTTCAGCAAATTTAGAATAGATGTCATTCCAAAATCGAAAAAATAAGTTAAATTTGGACTAAATAGAGAAGATTAGAAAGAAGTCAATTCAATTTGAGAAGATTTCATTGCAAATGACTCAGGCTGGAAGAAGACTGTCATTGTAGGCTGGTCTAAGTATTAAGGAGCTTAGTCCGACTTATTCAGAGTTCAAACTTGATTTAGACAAAAAGGTTCTTCGTAACATCAATGACAATTCAATTTTGAAAGTAGATGAACTAGATTCAATCATCAATCAATGAATAGCTTTGTATCAATATTATCGTCAATTATATTCCAACCTCCAATTCCCCATTCATTCTTAAATGATTAGAATTCTTTTGGTTTTGATTTTCTTTCATTGCAAATTTAGGTTTTAAATAGGTTTGATAAAGAAACCTTTTGTATTACTGGATTTCTACACATAGCAGGTGCTGTCTCGATTCTTATTTGACCCTCATTTGAATGTTTTGATTGTTTAAATCCTGATTTCAAACGAATGCTTTTAAATGCAGGACATTTACTATGAATACGATCAGTTTGATAAGAAAAAATTGGTTAAGCAGGCAGTGTTTTAAGAGTGCAAATAGGAAGTGAAGAATCTCTCTGTTTGAAGAATTTCTGGGTCTGAAATAATGATTTAATGAGCAGAGGGTTTTTTAATTGGATGGGTTGTCTGGTCCCATATTTCGCTTATTGAAAATGTAAACACGGAGACGACTTTTTAAGTAAGATGTCATGTTGTGTTTTTCGAGTTTGATTTTGTTATAAACTAATAGTATCTTAGTTATGTTGGCAATCAATAATTAATTCCCTATCCATTATATAATATATGTTTATTTTAGTTTTATTTGGTTATAAACAATACAAGGTGTTCACCATCGATGTTTTGGGCAGTACACTATTAGATTGCATATGGACTCAAGCCATAAAGGAAATCACTAAAGTAAAATTGATCTACGATTTTGAAAATAGCTGCTTACAACCAAAGAAGAATCACATCAGAAGGACTAGAAGTCAGCTTAATAGAAAATATCATCAAATGAGAAGAGAATTGCAGCAATCAACCAACAACTATAGGAAGAAGGCCTACTTGAGGCACCCACTGGAAAAAAAGTTACAATAAGCATAATAATATGTAGGATGACAAAAAAGGAGCTAAGCCACCTCCTCAAAAGAAGGGAAAGGATGCTCCTCCAAGCAATCCTTTGGAAGCAGAAAAATTGGAATTGTAAAAGGATACTGAGAAGTAGTAAGAGTATGTCACAAAGTACACAGATAAATTGAACAAGATAAAAGTGGCATCAGAAAAATTCAGAGATCTGAATGAGAGATATCATAATGATTAATTAGTGATTGAATTATGTGATAAAACTGGGGAACGCAAATTTGTCAAGACCAAATTAGATGGGATTGCGAATACCTTTTTAAGTGATAAAGGCACTTACATTTTAGCCTATTTGTAAGCTCCTGCCACACGTATATCTTTTATATAGAGTGATAGCTGATGAGGAAGAATAGTTATTGGCATTAGAATTTGAGGGTTATTTGGCAAGAACCGTTGATGAGGATATCGGAGCAGTAGAAGAACCATTATTATAATTACAACCAAAAAAGGACGATAAGAAGAAGAAAGGGAAGAAGTGATTTATTTGCAATTCCATTTGATTATCAATATCCAAATCTTTAAAGGCTAAGGTTTAGTTTAGTTTAGTTTAGTTTAGTTTAGTTTAGTTTAGATTTCAATTTTCATAATTATTCAATCATTATACTTTGATATTGATCTACAAGTTAAAGCATCATTCAACTAGAGTCTTAAGTTGTAGATCAAGACTTTGAGTAGGCTGTTAATGTCAATTGATTTAACATTAATTTTCAATAAAAATATGTCTAAATTATATAAGAATGCTTCACAAAACAATTTCTATCAATCCCAAACTATTCCAAAATTCAGGCCTCCCAATCCTGTTGGTCCATCATTGCCTAAGTACAATGATTGGTTAGGATCTGAGGAAGGCAACGCTTTATTAAATGCACTGAAATAGGAGAATCATGTCTTGAAGGAACAAGTATTTAAATCACGAGTATTGTTAGAATAAAACCATAGAAGGGTATCTCAAAAATGTGGTTAAGGTATTTGAATCATTGAATGTTGAAAACTCAAATCTGAGAAAAGAAATTGAATAAAGGACAGAGGATTTGCAACGGGTAATTGAATCCACAGCCACCAATCAAACTTTGAATGAGTAGGATCTTAGACATTAAATACAATTGTATGAAGATGAACTTGGAGTACTCAATTAACATATTAACAATATTAAAGGAGGAGATCAATTGCAAAAGTCTTTATTGGACGAGAAGGAGAATTAGCTTAAGAAATCTAAGGAATTGATTTAAAAATTGGAGTCGAATCTAACGAGTATGTATTAAAAGGAGAAAGATGTGTCAAATGAGGCACAAACCAAAGACATAAAAATAAAAGAATTAACTGATAAATATAATGAATTGAATAAAAAGTAGAAACCGTTGGAGGAGAAGGTAGGATAATTAAATTAGCAAAATGATAATTTGGTTTAAAAAGTAAATTAATTGGAGAGTGCAAAAAAGAAATTAGAAGAAGATGAAGCAGCAAAATTCAAAGATATATACACACAAAACTATTCTCAGAAAACTGACTTGGAACATCTACGTCATCTATGCAGTCAATAAGAATTGTTGATCAAAGAATTACGATCAGAATTGGGTTATTTAAAATAAGAAAATTACCCATAATAAATAATCGTATTAAAATAAGAGAACAATACTATTTAATAAGAGTTAATTTTGGAATAAAAACGACACAGTAACACATCTTAAAGAGAATAATCTGGAATGGAAAAGCTGACTACTGTCAAATTACAATTGGATAGTTTGTAAACTAAATATAATTTATTGTTGTCAGATTATGAAAATTTGAAGAAAGAATATGATAACGATTTGGAGAAAATGAATTAAAAATAGAAATAGATGCTTGAAAAATAAAAGTTAGCAAATCAATAAATGATTTCTGATCATAATTTGGAGATATCAAGATTAGAATTTAGAATCAAAGAACTTACCTTGCAAATGGAGTTATTGCAAAAAGACAATTAATAAAAGGACAAATAATTATTAGAAATGAAGTAGTTGCTATTGGATTTGGAAAACTTGAGGAGAGAATTGATTGAATCAAAAACTATTATTGTGTAGAGAGATCACAAAATTGAAATATTGACTTAGTAATACAATGAATACATGGAGAGTTCTAAGAAAAAATATTAAGATTTGGATGATAGATACAATAATTTATAAGAATTATTTAGAAAGGAGTAAGAAAAAAATGATACTCTCTACAAATAAAATGAGAAGATGCTATGGTATAAGGAGTAGTTTGATGAAATGGAAGAGAAGTTAAGAAATCTCAAATTAATATAAGAGAATTACAAAATTGAGATTAACACTTATTAGTCAAAGATCTCAAGATTAGAAATTGAAAACGAGGAAGTTAAACAGATAAACAATTCAAATGAATAGGAGATGACTCAAATTTAAGCATATGCTAGAAAACTAGAAAAGTAAATTCAAGAAGTTGAATATTTAAAGTTAGAAAATAAAACTTTGAGAGAGACTAATTTTAGAGAAGCTATTGCATTTTAGACTACTACTTAAACTCATAATAGAAAATCTACTTCTTCAAGATAGGATGAATAGGATTCAGGATCAAGGGAACCATAAAACATATAAACCAGAGGATTTAATGTTACATCTAAGTATTTTATATCTTTAATTTTTTAGCAAAACTTTAACTACTTAGCCTTCTAATTAGCAATTGAAATAGTAATTACAAAAAACAAGCAATCAAAATTCAAATCAAATTCTACAGACTTACGATGTTTAAAATGATTTGGAGTACAGAAACTATCCATATAGAACATATTATAAAAATAAATGATCTAAATAAAAATAACAAAATAATAAAAATCCCATTGTTCTGAAGAAGAATAATTTCAATTTTATCCAAGGAGCAATTTCGAATTATTATTATCAATTATAAAATTCAATATATTTGTATTAAATTATTAAATGAGTGAAAATTAAGAGACAAATAAGGATAGAGAAATCAGAGAGTAGATGAAAAAGTAATATATGGAAGAGGAGGCCAAATTGTAGCAGGGAATGGAAGAAGAAGAATCAGCTTTGAGGGATTACTTTAAAAATATTCAAAAACCTCTCCCAAGTGATCCAACAATTATTCGTAAATAAAAATACATTATAGTAAGGCAGAAAACGATATAATGAGAAAATGGCCACCTATTAGGAGGTCATTAAAGATATCTCATTAAAAGAGATGGTCAAAACTATTTGGCAATACGAAGCAAGTACCCCAGAGGAAAATGAAACATTATACGACTGCAAATAATATTTTAAGTGGAGATGCTATGAAGGAATGGGAGCATGCTTGGCAATGACTAGTCTTATTTCCTTTTGGAATCGTCGATACCTCTCTTTCACTGCTAAAGGTTTAGGAGTTTTTGTTGGCCTTGGTACTGGTTTTGCAATGGGTTTTCTGAGATCTACCTAATATACACTTTAAAGACTGGAAGAACTTGGTTCAGACTATTATCTTGGGAGATTAGCAATAAATGAGATTGAAGACTTTAGAATGGACAAGGTAATTAAGAAAAATATTTGAGTATTATTATATTAAAAATGGGAAATGGTACTTGTAAACAATAATCACCTTCTCTTGCTACAATCGATCTTATTGATCAAAAGTAACCTCTTCCCAACTCCTATTAATAAAGTCCCACAAAGCCTAACATTGATTCTATCAACCCAACTATCGCTAAATAAGAGGAAGAAGGACCTAACATAAGTATGGAAGCAGAGGAAGACCGTTGTTCCATTGGTAGAGTGTCGTAAGCCGAATCACCTACTAAGGAGAGATCAAAAAAAAGGCAATCCTCTGAGGATTAATTCTTTCTTGATTTGTTGCATCAAGACAAAACCTTATTCAGAAGATCCTCTTAAGGATAAAACATTAGTCCTGTTAGAATTCTAGCTACTTAACATAGAAAAAATAAAACATCTTTTATTATCGAACATACTGAGTTACTTAAATTAAGGTAAGAAGAAGCAGATGAAATTTCTAAGCCGAAATCAATCCTTAAATCCAGTAATCTTTCAGAAAAATCTTTTTCAAGTCAATCACAGAAAAAAGTAAAGTTTGGTTTGATTTATAAATAAATATGACTATAGAATATATATTTCAAAGTAGTTCAAATTATTTCAATAATGACTATTCATCATAATTTAGCGATAGGTTTCCAAGCATAGTCAAAGTTGGTTTGTTTGTGTCATCTCTCAACTCTTTAAATGGATCATCTCTCTGAGACAGTATTCCTTTTTATATCTTCGAATGGCCCAGATTCTGTTAAGCCTGTAAAACTTTCGATCCCTGCCATTAAGACTTCACAATCTGACTTGAAAATATAGGGTTTTAGGGTTATTAATTGATTTGTTTCGTTTTTTTTTACTCTTCCTAGAGGATTTCTTAGGGATCACCAAAATGTCCTAATAACATAAATAAAGCTTTAGATTCAGTTTTTAAATTCTATTCAATATTAATGATTCAATATACCTATTAGATCTCCAAATAGAAATGAGCAATTACAGGCTTAATCAATTCATTCAATTCAAATGATCTAAGATTAATAATGAATTTAATTAATGAAATAATTTAAGATCTAAACTACTATCTTTTTATATTTTCATCCGGATTCCTATTCAAAATTGATTTCGGATTACTCTTCACATGTTCTTAATAGTTGCCATAATATTCTGATATCGCAATCTTAACAAGATTAAAAGTGAATTCCTGAACTGGATTTGATTTAATAAACCTTGTTAAAAGTAATTATATCTATTAAAATGCCAATTAATAAAACATGATAGAACTTAAATATAACTTACTTAACATATCGAGCATTAATATAGCCACATTAACATCAATTTTTGGATGAGTGCAAACAGATTTTAATAATTGAAAGTCAACTATGTTAATTTATATTTCATTTTATTCAATTTAGAGTTACTTCACCATAGGAATTATTAAAATATCAATGGGTATTGTTGAATACTTTTTAATGAGCATTAAGAAATTGGCAACCAAAAATTCTCTCACTTCCTTCTAATCAAAGTTTTCAATCAGAGAAAAGACTAATTTCTTGTATAACAAAGCAGCATATTTGTCCTTTTACAATGCCAAATTGTCCAAGATTCTGAATAAACTTTGATAAGTAAATATTCTCATTGCAAAACTAGATTCTCTGGTTGCTTTCCTTGAATTTAATAAGTATTATTCCATTTGATTGATCACAAATTGCTACGGATAAAATACCCAATAATGCTCAAAATATTTAAGAGCGGTCATTCTCTCCATAGTAGTATGTTAAGGTTCAAATAGTTTCACAGCATATGAAGAAAACAACTCGAAAAGATTTAGTTCTTGCATCTGATCCCGAATCTGAATTGTTTAGATTATTCCATTTATAAAATCAATGTACTCTTTTCCAGATTTCAATATTTTCCTGAGTTGCACATCAAAGAAATCAACAACATTGTATTAAGAGACGACACTATATATTTTGCAGACTTATTCCAAATATTAGTGATGACGTTATTGTGATAAAATCAATACAATTAAACCCCCGTGTTCTCTTATCAACCAAGCATACACATCTTCTAATAATTCCTTTTAAGGTAGATTTATAACTATCCCTTCAATTATATATAATGTCCAATAGCATACCTCTGTGCTTTGAGATACCAGACCAGCTTTAAGAAGAGACAACAGTATGTCAATTTTGTAGGTTACAAATTTAATAATGTGATTAATATGTTTTGACAATTCCATCAACCAATTTGTGACAGTTTTGAAGTTCTTGTTGCCTTTGATCAGGATATTTGATAATTATTTATAATTTTAATTAAGCAAGGCTACTGCTTGCTTAGGCTTTAAGTTAAAATGTTTGCAAAGGGAAACTATGATGAATTCTAAAAGGGATTGTGTTTAATTAAGAGGCTTTTCAGGGTCAATTTCATCGATGCCTATTTCTTGAGGCTCATTTTATTGAGAATTGAATCTAGTTGTTGTACTTACTTGCTCTTCCACATAAAATGCCATTTCATAATGTTATTTTAATTCTTTTAAAAATTGCATCAACATCTAAGAATCTCCTTTAACAATTGATACTATATAATTGGAAATCAGGTACTTTTAATATCATCATCTAAAGTTATGTTAATCTATTGTAAACTTCTACATACATTATTCCAATTGAACAATCGTATTCCATTACTATTACCTTACTTGACATCTACTTCAATCTTTGAATCAAATTATTTAAGGATTTGACTAACTATTATTCCATTTAAGAATTGTTCTTCTAATGCTTAATCAACGTGAGCAAATAAATTATTAATAGGCAATTCCGATACCACATTAATTTTTACAAGCCACTGGTAAATATCAAGATCAAGTTTCATATTGACAAAAAAATTATTAATTTATAGTATTTTATTTCATTTGTTTCAATACTATATTTTTATAGTTTAAAAATACAATAATCATTAACTTATTGTTTAGTATTCCCTCTTTTTACAAAACCAATCCTTGATATTTTGTAAAATGAATAAATAATTGCAATTTTTATTGTAGATTTGTATAACAGATTGTCAAAATAAATAAAAGTTGATTTTTATTATATTCTGGATTATTAATAACTTTAATCCTAAAATGATATGAAGATAAATTATTGATATCAACAATTTTTAATTATTAATCTCTTAAATTGAAAAATTTTACTTGAATAATTGCATTTTAAAACATAATATTGGAATGAGTAGTAGGAGAATGTTGATATCTAAATTTGGTAATGATTTTAAACTCACGATAATAATAATTAAAATATTTCATGTTTCATATGCTTATCTGAAATTTTGGCAATCTTTTTGCAGATATTAATGATTCTAGGCTCTTCAAAATGGTTCTATTAAATTGTGGATATTAATTAAATCTAGCATATTAATCAAAATTATACATTGAATCTCAAACACTCTGCCTCATATTGGCTGTCCTTTTAAAATGAATCGAAAGATTTAAAAATGAAGTAATATAATTTAATAAGTTGTCGTTATTACCTTTTAATTCTATAAGTCATATAATAATATTTAAGAAATGCAAATGGGAGTGTTATATCTTCAAAGAGTGTTCTGACCTTGCTTTTTTCATTTAATAATTTTTATATTTAAGAAAAGTTGGTCTAAATTTCTTGCACATGTTATTTTAATTTCTCATAATAATAGGATTGCATTATATCAGCAATTGTTGGTGGCTGACATCCTTCTAATCTAAAGAGCATTTTTAAATTAAACACTTTATCATCATTCTTAAGCGAATTAACATAATTGATTGATGCAATTTCTTGTTGTTGGTTATTTTGCAAGCACAATGGATATATAAAAAGAGGTAATTGATCAGCTTTTCTGGATAGATTGAAAACATAGTATTTCTTAAAAATTATGATGACTCCTTCTGAAAATTATAGTATTAAATCAAGAATGCATGCCAACATAATCTTCCTTGTTGTGATTCTTTATTGTTGATAAAAAAAGTCAATTAAGAAGATGAACATGTACACAGGTATCAAGAAAAAGAGGAAGTTTATGACTCTTTTGCTGATTGTAGTAGGTTTCAAAGCTACGAACAAAGCATATACAAAGTATTGGGTGTATGTTTACAAAATTTAATTTTAATTTGGAGGCGAGACTGGCAACTATCTTAAGAATTTGTATCCATTATATAACACATAAGAAGTAGTGAAGATATTATTGAGTAACCCTCCTCCCCAAAGTTGATTACAGAGAAGGAATTGCAGTATCAAAATGACGAAGAAATATGCCAAGGCTTTATCAGAGTTTTCTATTGGATTAATGATTATAGAGTACTTGAAAAATAAAACACATGCAATCCTAACACATGAAATCCATTCACTAGCATTACTAAACATATAAATGTTTTGCCTATATAATTTAAATAATATGCGGCAAAGCCAAAAACTAGAATTAAGAGAGTTGTAAACAGGATAGTTGCAAACATTTATCTGAAAGATTCCCTTCCTTCAAATAATTGTGTAAACTCCAACCTGTTAACACGGCTTTAAAAATAAAATTTGACCTAATTGACCAAAGGAGATTCTAATTGCTAAGGAGCCTTATTTGGATTTAAAATTTTGATTGGGTTTTCAGGTTTCGTGAAATCCTAAAAATGCTGTTATTCCATAAAGTAATTCGTCATCCTTTCCTTCCTTCTTTATATATCATATGTAAGTCTATTTTAGTTCATTAATTTAATAATTTAATAAGTCTCGATAAATAATAAAGACAATATGAAGTTATCCTAGAAATTGGATATCCCTGTACAAAAGTGGGATTTTCATTTGATATAGGTATCCAAAGGATGTTAAAATCATACTCAACCAAAGAAGTTGATCAAATTGAATTCTGAGAAGCCCCTTACAAATCAAGATTATCCTATGAATTGACAGTGGAAGACGGATTGTATGAAATATTTAATTTTGATATGGTATTAAATTTAAAAGGACGATCAGTTGCTTTAATGTTTAGTTATTATAACAATGAAGAAATGCATAATGTCATAGCATATATTATAAATTTGATGTAGTAAAATAGCATTTTTTTTGGGAATGTGCTTCTACTTTAGATCACAGGGAGTTACTCTGGTTTTGGAAACAATTTATCAACTTTTACTGCTGTTTATGATGGTTACTTTTTATCAAACTAGAAAGGTTACATAGGTGGTAGATGAAGGGAAGTAGCAAAAAGGGTGTGCTTTGTTACCAGAATATTCATGGTAGTAATGGAAGATATTGCTATAAAGCACTCTAAAGTTTTAAATCCAGAGATTCATGTTAAATTAGGACATGCAGAAATCTCAGAATTCGAATTGGCTATGCGATTAAGATAATTATTTTAGAAATTACAAAGACCAGGAGTCAAATAAAGCGTATGGATTGTTAAAGATTGATTCTTAAATGAAAGATAGGGATATTATTACTAAAATGGCTTATTTATTTTAATTACTGGTGAAGTAAGGAAAATACCAAATTTATGATAAGATTCAAGAATGAATTGTTGTACTTGTTTAAAACAGAATTCATATTTCTTAGAAATATAAAATTCTACATTCAGATGGCTATAATTTTATTACTATTAAGCCATGAGAGTTTGAATATTGATTAATTTATTGATATAATCTCTTTTTTCAGCTAAGTGTATAGCGAAATAAGTAAGGAAATTTAGAGAAAAAGATATTGGAAAATTAATTAACTAATATTCTATTGGAATTAATTATGAAAATATTAAGAAAAATGTATAATTTAAAAGAATGTTATTAAAATTTATTAATTTCCATAAATCATAACTTGTATCTTGAATGTTACTAAGTTAATGGTCTAATCAAAACATTTGTATGAGATTCTGTTTTACCAGAAATAATTCTTTTTGATTAATTCATTTTTTTGACTTCCTGTAAGTAAAGTTATTTATATTCATCTCTTTCCTTGATCAAAGTATTCAGATCATTATTTGATTACAAAGTCTCTAATTAAATCACTCTTTTCTGTAATTCTTTTTCTCTTGCTAGAACTGAGACTAATTCATCTCGAATCATGCTTGCAAACTACCTTAAAGTTGGCTCTTGCATGTCTATTATGTTCATTTTGATGTCTGTGTGTTCCAGAAACTATGACTTCTGCAAAGGCTATAAAATAACCTTATCCTTGATTCCATCCTGTTTAGTATTCTTTAGACTTCTTTAATCAAGATATTTAAACAGACTTGAAAATTATTACAAAATTGTACTTTTTGAATTTGTTTCTAGTGGGAATAAGAGGTTTATCCATAGCTGGAATATTAAATGATCTGATTCCAGAACTATAGGCACCATTTTCTATTTTCTCAATCACTCTAAATGTTTTCATCACAATATCATATAACTCAAATAATTCAGACTTCAGGTCTCTAATTTACATTCTAAAATAATAATGCTAAATGATTACTTCTTTTTTTCTTAGTACTTTTTGAATTAGTGAATAAAGTGATCTATTTCTTCATTTTTCTTTTGTAAATATTTTTCGTATTATTCTGTGCTATCTTACAAAAACTTTGCATACTCTTACTTTAAGTTTTCCATTTATTATTTATACCTAAGTTAAAATAATATGGCTTACTCTTTTTCTAATTCAAGTTTTGCCATTCTTTTGATGTCTTCATGCTTCTACACTTCAGAAGTCTTGGCTTGGATGGTTTAAGGTAAATTTATAATAACATTGACCTTCTTCTCAATCACATCCTGATGTTCTTTTAATTGTTTTTTCACTGTATCTAAGATCTTGTCGTTTTTTTCTTATTCAATTTATTCTAGTTGCTATTTCTTTTCTGCCTGCTATTCCTTCAACTTTTTGATTTCTTCAGCTAATTCTATGATCCTGCATTATTGTCTCTCTTATTTAAGACTCTCTTCCTTTTTCAATTATTCTTTCTCCTTTTGCATCTTGTCTATCATATAGTCTGCCTCTTTAACATAATTCTAAAGAGTTTCTACCTTCTGCATAGCATCCTTCTGAATTTTGAATTTCTATAATTCTTAAGCACTTGATTTAGCAAAGAGTTTCTCTAAATCTACATCGATTCCTAATAATGTTTAGATTTCTGATATTTTTTATTTGTGTTCCTTCTGCATGTAATCTATCTTTGATTTCAACTCAGTATTTTCATCTTACAATTTCTTAATCAATTTATCCTACCCAGGAAAAGGCCCTGGCTGATTGGGATTGTCGTCAATAGGTTGAGCTGCTGTCACTCCCTTCGTTCTTTCCGCGTATTGCAGTGCCGATAAACATTCTTCAAAATTATTTTCATTGGGATTGATATGCACCATCAAGGCCACTTAACTTTAACTATTGAGGCAATTTTATAAGATCCGAGTCAACTTTGAGTCTCTGTATGGAATATTTTTGGAATTCATTTGGGAGATGGCTGTCAAACATTTTGATAAGGCAGTCAGACTCTAATTAATTAAAATGGCTTCCTAGAACTATCCTTCTTAGGTTAAACTTTTGGCTATTCTTTCGGATCCTGCCAAATCGACAAATTAGATGAATGCATTCATAAATGGTAGGTTTTCATTTTCCTTGTCTTTTTAAACCAGATTCAATGTAATGATGGAATGACATTTCTGCCCGAATTGTTTACTTTGCTGTTCCAGTTTCTCCCTTAATTGAAAACCCATCTATATCATATCAGTCAATTCCTATGCTGATCTTATGGGTATTTATGTGAGATCCTTGATCATTATCTACCCATTTGTGTTTTCGTATATGGTGAGATTTTCATTCTCGTAATTCTACAGTATTTGATTCGAATTCCCAGATTAACGGGATTGATAGGCTTTGCCCAAATCCCTCACTTGATCTAAGAACAATTCAGCCATGCTAACAGTTATTACAAATTCTCGAATCTCTTCGAATTCTTAAGATTTGGAGAGGAGGTATTCCATGGCTCTTGTTACAATTCCCTTCTTGTCTGGCTTGCTTTCTTCACCTTCTTACCCGAATAATGTGTAACTCTTCCCACTTCCGGTTTGTCCATAACTCAGAACGCAAGAATTGTGGCCTTCGATTAGTTTCTGCAACATGGGTTCAATTACTTTGAAGGCATGTTCTTGCGTAGTGCAAACTGAAGAAAAAGAAACAATCTTGCTTTCTGCATTTTTATTGGTTGGATCCTTAAAATAACATAATTCTATACTCTTATCGAAATGCTCTCATTAGTGAAGTCGACCATCTTCTGTTGATAATCAATTGGTCTCACTCTGGCGAATATTTTATAGTTTTGATTTGCATTTGTAATTCGGTTTTGCATTATTTTCTTATAATTATTTATTTAAATAATGTCCAAAAACCATATGGAAGGACTAAATATACTTAAGGTGGCTCTGATGGAACTAAAATCAATTAAGTACACCTAATTTACCAGGAACAAAATTCGTTCGATTCTTGCCTTAAAGAATAACAAGACTCTCTAAGAACAAGACACTTTGAAATTCAGAAACGAGTGCTTTGCCTATTACAGTCTGATGAAGCAGGAATTGCATCAAAAGGACTTAACTATAACTACGGCAGAGCACTTGAAGAAAACTATGAAAAATAATTATTGGGTAAAATGATTATCAACTTAAATATACACCAATAATATATTTTATATTTAATGCTCTTTCAAAGATCGTCCCATTTCGAAGTTAATTCCTCTTATTCTAAAGGAGTGTTTTCCTTTGATTTTCTATATTGCTTAGCATGTCTCAATCTGAACATCATAATCTCAAACAATTACCTTCTGACGACTGAAGAGCATGGTCTTGCTCCATGATTAGCCTTCTTGGGGGCTCTAGCATTTCTATTCATCTAAAGGATTGTTTCATCAAACATCAAGGGAATCCTTGTGATGAAGTCCATAAAGAAGCTTCTAGTTAATAATTTTGTTTACATATTAAAATAATAAATATAAATCACATTTCCCATATGTAAAAGTATAAATAACTAACCAAATGTGCAATTATGCAGTTAAATAATTGAAAAAAGCTAAATTGCTCCAAAGTAATATTAACATTAAATTAATGGATTTATTTTATTTTCATTTTCATTTGCTTTAAGAGTCTAAATGGAATGCTTTTTTGAAATTGATAGAATAAAAAGGCAGAATACCTGATCCTTTATTAATATTATAACAACCCAATTTATTTAAGCGTAATGATGTGAATATATAAGGAATGGTTTTCGAGAATTGAGTGCTTCCTATTCCTAGGGAGGAGTTTCTTAAAAGTTTGAATTATCCTCATATGGGCAGAAAAGTAAAATGCGGGATGTGCAATATGAAATTAGTTTGGAAAATTATAAAAAAGTAAAATTGATTAACGTTTCGCCAAATTTAGACAAGCTTTTTTTTATTTTTAACTGAGAGGTCATAATTTATAATGTTTCTCAAAACTTAGTCCCTAGAAGTGATGTGTAGTTGTAATTGATTCGATGAAATTAATTACTTATATTTAGACGGAATTTATTGATATCGTTTTTAAATTGAAGTGTTAAATTTATATGCATTTTTACAAAGTGTCAAGAGTTTACGGTTGCCCCATAAAAAATACGTATATTTATTAAGGATTAGTAAAATAATATTAGATTTGTGAGGCCTTTGGCTTTTGTGAAGTGAATATTTTTAATAAAATATTTTTCCAATTTACTTATCCGTCAATATCTAAATTAAGATGAGTTCGAAGGAGGAAAGCAGAGGATCTGAAAAGTAAGGAATTGGTAGAGTTGAGATCTCGGAGGAACCTTAAACTGTGATTTGGAGTGGGCAGAGTAATATTGAAATTTAGATTTTGGTTGATAAATCATTGGGAGATTCGATGTCATATCAGGATGTTTTGAAATACAAGAGTATCCTGGCAAGAAAGATCCTAGGATAGTGAATCTGATTTATGAGTATTGAAACCAATAATCACGATTGTTATATACTAAAATGAGTCATTTATATTTCTTGTAAATTATAAATTGGATATTTACAATGATATCCGCATGGTAGTTTCGATATAAATGTATGGGGAATATTCGATAAATGTAAGTATTGAATGAAAATGGAAGATTAAAAATAAGATGGATTTAAAATTGGAAAATGAGATATTAATAAAAAATTGATTTATATAAGAACTAATTTATTAAATGAAGAGAAATAGAGAGATATACAAAACACAATATATTATTATAATAATATATTATAATTATAAATGCTAATACTACTTACATCACTAATTTCATTAATCAAGTGTGGGTCCATCCTGAGACCAACAGGAGTGACTCCAATTTGGAATTCGGTAGCAAATGCCAACGTTCAGGCCTAATACATTTTTAGTTATGTTTTGGAAACATACTTGGCATCCAATTCCCAAATAGAAGTTTAGTTTCCTCTGCAATATTTATCTGGGTTGGGAACCACGGCATCTGAACTAGTGTGCATACCGACTTGCGTAGTTTCTGGGAGATCAGTTATCTTCACCTACTCAGAGGAGATGAAGAATGGGACTAGTAAGAAAGTGGCATGCTAATAGTCTACACGGCATCGGTGTAACCAATAAGGAATCCAGCCACATAAGGTGGGACAGCTAATTTCATTTTGCGCAGTAAGAGAGGAGATAATGTGATTGATGAGAATTTGATTTTTGGTATCATAGGAATTGCAGATGCCATTAATACGATGGTCTTTGGAGAAGTGGTCGTCAATCCAACTGGTTCCTTTTATGCAGGAGTAACAATGTAATATATAATACCAAGGATTACACTTAATACATACTGAAATTCAAGACAACAACCACTATCATCTATAATTCATACATGTTATTCACAGTTCCAACTGATTTCGAATTGGAACCATTTCCAGTCTGTAGTGCTTACCCAATCAATGGAATTCAATTGGATGGCACTTTGTTTTGTTCCCAAGTGAACCAAACCAATGTAGTGAAGATTGAAGGAATCACTGGACATGTGATTGGATTATAAGATTACGCACTCAAAATATCAATGAGAAATCCTAAATACGCTGGAACAACTAAGACATTCAATTTGGGAATCTACAAAGCCAACACCCAGATGATGTTTGAGGAAGTCAAGGGAATCAGTGGAGTCACAATCCAAGCTGCTTAATTATAGAATGTGTCAATGACTTAAGTCTAGAGTTTTATCAATTCCAGATCCAGAATTATGGATTATGAAGTCAAGTTTACTCCAACCTTTCCTATTCCTGCAGGATGCAACATCAAATTGATTTTCCCTGTCTATATGTAAATAGTGTAACCTGCAGATTACAATTAAGCAGGACAATTTTAGATGAACTATGTTAAATATGGGCTGGAGGATATCAGTGAAGACAGTCCAATTGGATTCTATTATCAGGATTCAATTTAAAATTATCTCAGAATAACCAATTTCCAAGAAATGACAATGAATAATGAAATTTGTGTTGTTGTCAGAGTTATCAACCCAAGTGTGGAGGGATACACTACTCCACTCAAACTCTATATATTTCAGGATATCACTGAGTATCAATTATTATAATCTGATGTGTTGTATGCGATAGCAGATGTGGCATCAGTTAATGCAGGTAATTAGAATGTCCCTACAACCAATGTAAATACTTGGTTCCAAAAACCTAGAACTGGATTCTTTCCAAATTATGGTGATTATTCTATATCAAATATTTATGCCAATGGAGCACTAGCAACCTTGACATTGAACATTGATCCATCTGCTACTGTTCCCAAATTCGCATTCGTTTATATTACTGTTCCTGATGAATTTAAAGTTAACAATGACACTACTACTGGAGTTAATGCTGCCAATTGCAAATTCTACTTGTAATAAAACTCCCCAGCATTAAATGGTTTTGTTTCGCCTACCAATTCTTTGACATGTGCAGCAACTGATTAAGTTATTAAGGCTAAGCTACCCTTTGCATTTGATGTCATCTAATATCCTTCTCAAGCATTGCCAGCGACACCCTTAAGAAACTAATGGCAGATTCAATTAATCAATGCATTCTTCACTCCATCATTGAATGGAACCTACTTTTTTGATGTTACTATTAAAGATACTGATGATCTGACTGTGTTAGACTCCTTTTCATATCCAATCTAAATAAATGCTAATTTATTAACTGGCAGTATTGTGAATTCGATTCCAAAAAACTCGAAAGAGAAAGCAATTGTTGACATTTAATTTATAACAGTGTTGTAAATACCCTCAGGGTAGAAATAATACAGAGCATCAGATACCAGAGGTTTTCTTGAATTTCACTTCAGCAGCGCTTGGGCTTAAGATTTAGGTTCAGGAGTTACGAATGGTGGATCAATTCCATGTTATGGTGTTAATGCCCTAATACCATATGAGGGCAGTTAATTAAAATGCATTCTGTTTTACTCGACTGCTACATCAAAAACAATAGTGAGAGTGTCTAATTTCAGACAAATTGCTACAAATACTAATGTTAGAATAATGATTTCAGGCGTAACTAATCCAACTGCTGGCACGTATGATGTAGATATCAAAGTGTTCTAGAAAAAGAATAGAATATTTACTCTATTGAATCAATAATTAACTGTGACCAGCACTTTGAACGCAGCACCTGTGACAACCACTTGCACAACTGCTCCTTCATATTCAGAGAACAGAGTAGGGTACTTATTTGATATAAGCATCTCGCCTTGTTTGACTACAGCCATTACTGCTAACTATTACATTCTGATATAATTGCCCAAATTTGATATTGGGTTCATCAGAGATGAAAATACTATAACTTGCTCACTCACTTCCCAATTATATTGCATTCCTCTATTAGGATCTGATTTTATTTTGATCGTTACTTCAGCTACTGTGCCTCTCTCTCCAACTCCAATATTCAAAATAAGCAATTTGCAATGGCCAAGATATGTGGAGGACTTTTCAACCTACACATTGAATTTCCTGATAATTAACAACGTTGGTTTGGGGATAGTCTAAAAATATCAATTCAGCACTCTCACTAATTGTGTGCCCTCACAATTCTCTTCGATTCAATCTCTTGTGTCAAACAAAGGAAAAGGGTTTGTGGATGCAACCTATTCCTTTACTTTTACCCCCCAAGCTGATATACCCCAGGGATCAACTATCATAGTGGAATTTCCTCCGTTCTACGATTTTCTTAATGGCATACATTTACCCACCTTTTCATAGAGTGGACTTCTAGATTTAAGTGATACAAATCAAGTATCCATATAAGTGAATTTGAAATTGATAAAAATCACCGGATTTCAACAGTTCAACAAATCGAATTCATTTCAAGTTGTAGCTGTGTCTGTGAAGAATTCTCAATCCTATAATACTGCCTCAGGATTTCATGTCTATGTCTTATATAATGGGAAATACGTTTTATAATAAATGAACTTTTACAGCTTTGATTTCACAACCCCATTCAAGGCAGGCAAAATCGTTATTAATCAAATTACCGCTTCAATCCTCAATGCAGATGAGGAAGTCGATTACCTAATCGAATTTACTCCTTAAAATGACATTCCCATAGGTGGGCAGATCAAAGTGATGTTCCCAGATGACAATTATAAGAAATTACCATCCACTCCAGATTGTCGTGTTAGTGGTGGTATCAATACATTTTAGTCTTGTATTCTGAATGGCAAAACCTTCATCATAGAAACGAACAGCAGATACAAAGCAGGTAATGGAGTCATTGATCTCGTTATTAAAGGAGTTTAAAATCCAGATTAGGGAACAACCTAAGGGTTTGTCATCTCAACAGAATACGATGGAGTTAAATTGGATGGCACTGATGAATCCAATTTAAATGGAAGAACATTCACATCTGCTCCAAAAACCAACCCAATCACTCTCAATTCCTTAGTATTTGATCCAAAAAATGAAGGGGAAGAAGCCTCTTATCGTTTCATATTTCTACCTTATTCATCGCTATCTGTAAGTTCCCAAATAGAATTCAAATTCCCGAAACAATTCGACCCCTTGCTTGGTAGAGATATCCAATGCATTGTGAATTCTGGTTTATCTGGAGGGGGTTATACTTGCAGTGTGGACTCTAGAATAGTCACACTCAAGGGCTATGATGCATACACTCCAGAGATTTCAAATCCCATTGACATCACCATCTTTGGTATTGTGAATCCCAATTCTAATGGAGGATCAACCACTGACTTCCTTAAACTCTATATCAGATAATAAGGCAGCAACATCTATGATCAATCCAATTAAGAAATCGCTTAATTGTCATTTCTTGCTGCACCAGGTTGGTCTCCTTTAATTTCGATAGATGTTTCAACTTATAATGTGAGGTGGAATTCAACCTATAATTTTACTTTTTAAACGTATAAAAACATTCCAAAAGTATCAGCCAAAGGATCCGTTTTGATTGATTACCCATCCTAATTTGAAATTGTGGATGGCTCCATCACATGTTCAAGTACAACATTATTTGCTGCAACATTGAAGTGTTCTTCTTATCGTAATAGAGTGACTTCATCTGGTAATTACGATGATTACGTTGGTCAAATGTATATTCAATTGAAGAAAGTGCTAAATCCTATTGAGAAGGGGGAGAGTGATTTCTTCTACATTAGAACCTATGATGGGCTGAATTTAAGAATTATAGAAAGAAACTTTGCAAATCTGGATCCATTTAAGTTTTCGTATTAGTTTCCTGGCCCACTCATTAAGGTCAATAATGAAAAAACAGTCACAATTGAAAGAGGAACCCAAGCCATAAATATTCCCGTTACTATTGAGTTCCCATGTTTGCTCAATCTTAAATTGATTCCATCAGAAAATGAGTTCATCGTCAACCCTTCCTCCATCCCACTAACTCTGGGAATGACAACCCAATACTTTAATATTTCTGTTCCCCAGTCAATGTATGATG